TCATTGGCTCATGACGTCATTTAACGTCACTTTTGAATAAAATAGTTAAAAGATATGAGTTTAAAACTTTGACACGAAAGGCTGTGGGTGATAATTTTATTTACTTCCACTGGATCGCAGACTTAACTTCATTTGGGAAACTATTAAAACCATTTCTTTTTCCCACTGGGAACATAAAGGCTGAGACATGTGAGGTTTGACCTTTGATGGGTGAGTGGGCGACATGCACAGTAGAGCATGTCTGTGTTGACATGTACACAGTCATGGGCCAGGGTGCCATGTTGGGTTTTTGTCTCCAACTAAAGCAAACGGTGTCGTTAAACGCAGATTTGGAAAGTGTTCCTGCGGCCTGGAGGAGGCCGGTACAGTTAACGTATTGTCAGGATGGTTGAATAGTTTACTCATGAATGTGTGAAGGCAACAGATAGAACAAAAGAGACGGTTCACTGCTGTCCCTGGCCCAATCAGAACCACTGTGTGTGTGTGTGTGTGTGTGTGTGTGGTCCTCTTTTAACATGTTCAGCAACCAGCAGATGTGTGGGTGACCACCACAGAGGTGGTGCAGGCAATTTCAACAGTGTGTGTGTGTGTGTGTGTGTGTGTGTGTGTGTGTGTGTGTGTGTGTGTGTGTGTGTGTGTGTGTGTGTGTGTGTGTGTGTGTGTGTGAGAGAGAGACACCACTACAGAGGCGGTAGAGTTTGTCCTGACTGGAAGTCAAGCAGATGAAACAACAAGTCAGAGACCACCACAGCCCTCCGACTGACTCTTCTACACACTCACGCACGCACACACACACACTTGTTTCCTAAAACAATCCAACTGACTTTTCTTTCTTTAATGATTATTGTCAGTGAACTTAAACTGCCCAAGTTGTAGTCAAAGATGTTAATGCAGAGTCTGGAGTTGTGTGACTGACTCTCAGCTACTACCACAACAAATTACAACTTAATACATGTTTGTTAATACCTGTTTGTTGTTAGTACGTGTTTGCTGTTAATATGGGTTTGCTGTTAATGCATGTTTGTTGTTACATGTTTGTGTCGACTAAAGTTGATTGTGGCAGTCATTTTGGGTTGAGCTGACTCCAAACGTTTATAAGTTGCAGAAGTCCATCCAATAACTACTTCCTGAGAGATTCACTGGAATCTGTCATAGTGGTTCATGAGATATTTTGCCAACAGACAGACAAACTAACACACATACAAGGACAATTGCACCATCACTCACCTTTGGCCTTTCAATGAGAAATTTAAAAAAATAACGTTTTGCCCCAAACGTGTATCTGATTTATCTCGTCTCTGCACACAACGTGATTAGTGTGCAGACCACTGGGCATCATGGGTAATTTTACTAGTTTACAGAGTGAAGAGAGCTTTTCATTTTCATAAGGCCTCTCTGTCTCGTGTTTGTAATGCTTGGATGATGGACTGAACTGTGAAGAAGATGACAACATGTTTCCTACACAGCCAGTAACGCAGAAAATAACCAGACAGCTCTGATTATTATTCTTGGAAACTGGAGTGACAGTAACGACTTTTTCTGATTTTGTTAACATTTCTGCCTTTTTTTTTTTTAAATTAATGTCATTTTTAACCTGCAGTTTTTATTAACAAATTAAAAAAATAAAATAGGTTGCAGTCTAAAGAAGAACTTTAATGACTCGCACAAAACAGATAAACCAAAAGCGAAGAGGAAGAGTCTCTTAGGGCTGAATGCACGGACAGTAACAAAAAATAAATTGATGCATTTCTTTGCTGCATCGCTCATTCAGCTGGAAGTTCTCACTTTTCCTCCAGTCCTTTCATCCTGAAGGAAAACTGGACAGCAGCCATGATGGCAGACCAACCATGACCGCTGGATGTTAGCTCTGTGAGCTGATGTTTTTCCCAAGAATGTTCTTATTAAACTCTTTAAGTGTTTATTTTTATCACTTAACGTAAGCACAGCTGGGGTTATTCTTGGATATAAAGTAATATACTCCATAATGTAATTAAAGGCCCGCCACCTGTCGTGTCAGAGTTTCAAACTAAAATAATTTTATGCTGAGAAGAGACAAAGTTATAGATTTTTTTGTTGTTGTTGACTAGTGTTAATTAGGTTTTGAAGGTAAATGGACTGTGACGGCCATCTTGAATTGAGGTGACTCCAAATGGCAATCTGGACAGGTCACAAGTCCATCACAGGGACACATAGAGACAAATGACTACTGGCACGCTCACCCGTCGTCAGGGCGAACCTAACGTCATGTTTTAGTTCTGTGGGAGAAAACCTACATATGCACAGGAATAACATGAATATCCACACAGAAAGGCCCCAGACCTGGAGGTGATTGTTGCCTTCTTGCCGTGAGGCTACAACTCTAACCACTGCTCAACCGTGCTTCTAGTAAACACCACAGATTAAAAACGACAACACAACTCTGACGTGGCTGACTGCGTCTGATTTTAGTGGCTGTGTGCACCTGCATGTGTTTTCCGTTTGCATGTTGGAATAATTTAAAAAAGGACTGCAAACTATTTCAAACTGTACAATTAACTGAAAACATGTGACATGAGCGTCTGCAAAGACCTTACATTCAGCAGAGGGCTCCATTAAAACCTGCTGTCGTTTAAACCTTATTGTCATCTCATGCACTGAAAGAAATGCACAAGGAAGGCAGCGGTGGTAATGTGCCAGATAAAAACCACAAAGCAAAGATCAGACCGTCCTAAGTGACCACAACAACCCAAGAAACACCTTTATGGCATATTTTACAACACTATCAGTACCAAAGGTCTGTTTTACTGCCGTATAGTTGAACTCGCATAGCAAGAATTTTTTTTTTTTTTAATACATTGTCTTAACTTAAGGCAAATTTGGAACAAAATCTGCTCTTTAATCCACGACACTTTGTGCCACCCAATGTTAAAAGAGCAGCTTTAAGAGGAAAAGTTTCATGGAAATTGAAATCAACATCTGACGGTTTTGTCTTTAGCGACCTCATCCATTAAAACAAAACATAAAACTATTTTATACTAATAAATATTATTGTTTTACACAAGGTACACCACAAACCATTTCTTTCCATTTTTATAAAAATCTACCATAATTAACATTTTCAGTTGTTAAGGTTTTGTTTTGGAGTTGTTAACTGTGTGATTACCGTATTTTCCGCCGTACACGTCGCACCGCCGTATAAGTTGCATCAGTCCAAATCTGTTTAATAAAGTGGAAAAAAACATAAATATGTCGCTTCGCCGTACACGTCGCATCTATTATGCGTCACCACTGACAAACCGGAAATGTGAGCCGGTGGTGTGCCAAAAATCGATTGGCTGCCAAATGGCGGCCGCGGGAGCGTGTACGGGAGGACTTTAACAAGCGTTTAACAAGATTGACGCTTAAAAACAATTATTTGTTTGCTCGAAATTATAGTAAAGGTGTGTCTCAGTCTAACTTTTCCTTAATAAATGCACTTTGACGGTCAAATCAGCTGCATTTCAAAACCCGATTCGTGGAAGCGCGCAGAGGGATGAGTCGTTGTGCATTTCTTCAAAATTTAACAAGATAACCACCTAAAAACAATTATTTGTTTGCTCGACTTTATAGTAAAGGTGTGTCTCAGTTGAACTTTTACTTATTAAATGCATTTAATGGTCAAATTAGCTGCATTTTGCTGGGGCAGAGCAGTAAAATTAAGCTGATTTGACAGTTGCTCCAGTCATGATCCTGGAGCTGGATGAAGGTGGCAGGCTGTGGCAAGCCGAATGTGTCATTAATAGCCACTTTTCCCTATTACATGACACAACGGCATGCCAAACTTGAGTGCCATCTAGTGAATGAAAATGGTAGTGTTTAATATTTTCAGTCAGAATGAATATCTCGTATCTCAGCCAAAAATTGGTTTATAAATATCAGAAAAAAAAAACATATATAAGTCGCTTCGGTGTATAAGTCACAGGACGTAAATTATGCAAAAAACTGCGACTTATAGGCCGAAAAATACGGTAGTTTTACCTGAGGCTGCAGAAAGTCAGTGAATTCTTCTTCCAGTAAGTTCTGGCTCTGCAGCCCAGTCTGAGCTGACTCGTTCACCATCTGGAGCTTCTGAGCTGTGAGTGAGTGGAAACCTGCATGGAGGCAGTATGTTTGCTTTAGGTTACCTTTAAAGTGTGTTAAATAAAATATTATGGGATAAACATACATAAAAACTCAGCTGTTTTCTTCCTACTTATTCGTCTTTCCTGGTTTCCTTCAGTTATTTTAACTGTTTCACTTGAAGTTTTTACTTGTCTTCTGGACTTTCTTTGTTCTCCTTCATCTTGAAGCAAACAGTTTTCTGTGGATCGCTTCATGACCACAAACACGCGCAGTACAGTTTAATTGTAATTTTATTCGAGGTGATACTTGTACCTCTGTCTAGATAAAACTATTTCAACGATAACACACAGAACTGACGCTTTATGGGTAATCTGAAGGATTAAATGGCAGCTTTAGTAAAGTTTGTCCAGCTGTGGTCTTCTGCAGCTCAGTTTAAATTCACCACCAGGACCCACTGATGGAGGATGTGTCTTCTGATCTGTTTTCAAAGAGCTGAAGGGTTTTCCACATAAACATGTAAACCATTTACATTTATAACGAGACTAGCCTGTATAACTAAAGGTTGAATGAATGAAAAATAATTGCAAAATTTAATGTTTTATCAACGTTGTAATTACAATGAATGCACATGAATGACATATTGGCATCTTGTGTAGTATGTCTTTTTTTTTGTTTTCTCAAATCTGCCTTTAAAATGCACATTTTATTTTGTGTTTACATTATAATTTAATATTTCTGCAACTCGGCTGAAGTTTTCACAATCTTTATCTGCCGAGTACGGAGCCTCAACAAGTACACAAATATATTAAGTGAATTAAATGTATCAACTTACAAATGAAATATTTTGTTTATCACAGTTATTTTAATGTTTTGCAACACTTTAAGTATTTAAGTACTGTATCGCCTCCTCCATCAACTGATTATTTTTGTTGGTTGTTGTGTAAAAGATGTTCAGCCTGCAAAAACAAAACGAAACACAGTGAAAGGAAACTGATCCAGTGATAATCAGTGGTTTAAAATTATTTACAGTTTACTGTCTAAGTACCAGGAAGTCCACGGGGTCTTCGGGTTTGATTTTGCAGCACTCTGACATGGCCTCGTTCAGTGAAGGCATCACGTGCTTCATCAGGTAGTTTCTCAGAGGAAGAGCCTGAGCTTCCAGCAGCTCGCTCTCCTGTCGCCTCACCTCCGACAGATTCTTCTGCTGATGAACGTAATTCACCTTCCAGTCAGGACTTTATTCAGACAATGACTTTCCGTAAAGTCTGGACTTACCCACTCTTCGTACTGAGCTGACATCTCAGCCAGCGCAGCTGCTTTCCTGCGTTTCCTCTCGACAGCCTCTGCAGCCAGTTTCTGCCTCCTCTCATCTTCTCTCCTTTGGTTCTCCTCCTCCTGCTCCTCTGGACTCGGGCCGTAGTTCTTAGGAACCCCTACAATCTCTATTACCTTCTTCATAACATCTGCGCACTCTGAATCATCTGTACTGACATCTGGAGGACACAAAGACATCATTAATGGAGTTTAAGTTGTAGTTATGTGGATTAGCTGTGGCAGCCATCATGAAGTGAGGCAAGACCAAATCAGTTGCAAAAGTCCAAACTTAAAAAAAACTTAAATACATCCAAACATACCGACACAAGAGAAAACATTATTTATTGCTTGTCGCAAAAAGTAAAAAGAGACTAAAAACATTTTTTTGTGTCTGACTCCATGTAGCCTAAAGCAGTGGTTCCCAACCCTGGTCCCTGAGGAACACCACCCTGCTTGATTTAGTTGTTCCTCTGCTCCAACACACCTATTTGTGATTAACAGGCTTCTGACAAACTTAAACCACTGAATCAGGCGTGTTGGAGCAGAGAAACAACTGAAACATGCAAGATGGTGTTCCTTAAGGATCAGGGTTGGGAACCACTGGTCTAAAGTGTCTGAGTAGACATTACCTATGTGTTCTGGATGAATCTCACGGTGATCAAAAAAGTCCAACAGTGTTTCCTCAGCTTGGCTGAGTTGTCTGTATCTCTCCAGTCGGGGTACAAATTCATCCTCTGCGACCCTCTCCGGTAGCCTTTGCACTCGACTGGTCAGGAAATCATCAGAGGCATCGAGAGCAAACACGTACTCTGCAATAAAGTTTAGAAACAAAACTGTTCTATCACCTGCGAGTTTGGACCTTCTCACTTTAGTTCTGAGTTAATGTCAGAACCTGGAGTGATGGTTTTGTTGTACCAGGGGACTAAAGACATCAACTCTGTATCCTTGTTCTCTGGTTCCTTATCTGAGCAAAAGAAACAGGAGTAAACTACCAAACAAAGGCTTTAACTTGACAAGAAGTGCATTCTTTGATCAAACTCACCAGAGAAAATCATCCTTGCTTGCTCATAAGTCTTAGGGAAGCCGTCAAGTACAAACCCGTGATTCCTACATGGTTTAGAGTTCAGTTTTTCTTGCAAAATGTCAAAGATCTGGTGTTCAGCCAGTCGGCCTGATGGATAAAAGGAGTGACAAGCTCACCATTTTTAAAATACACACAAAAAAATTCAACACAGATGCACAACATCCATTTTTTTCAGTAAACCCTTTAAAAAAAAAAAAAAAACTTCATGAAAGCATACACATACTGCACTTTGTTACCAGAAGTTTCCACAAGCTGGTCCCCACACATTAAAGAAATAAAACATTTTAATTCCATTTTTCATCAGTCAAATCATAAATCACATCAAAGTGTGTAGTTTTCAGCTTTATAACTTTTGTATAGAGAAGTTTTTTTTTGTTTGTTTTGACCAACCATGATTCTTTTCCAAGCTTTCGTTAATGTTTTCCATCATTTTCTGTGCAGCTGCTACTTCTTCCCTATCAATTTCAGGATCAACTCCATTTATTATCTTCGTCTGCAGCATAAAAAAAAAAAAGACATGAGACAAACATTAAATGTCTGTTTATAAACTATGTGAGCATCTTTAGTTTATTCATTACATCAGTTTTCATAACTAAAGGCAGTAGAATTAGATATTCCTGCTCCCACTGACCAGATGTGTCATTTTCTCCTCGATGATTCCTCTAACGTGGATGTGATGTATTTTGTAATGCTGGCAGAGCTTCTCAGACACAGTGGATTTCCCCACAGCTGGAGGTCCAAGAAGGCATATTTTAACTGGCTAAAGAATAAAGGGGGGTGGTTTTATGCAACACAAGGCTGAAATGAGGGGAAATGACAGCGTTTCTCCAATAAACTCATAAAAATGTAATGTGGAAACATTAAACTGGCTCTCAGTTTAGTTTACAAAGTCTTACAAACACGAATAATCGTGGTAATGATTCATTTGGAGCATAGACACTCACAAAAAGCTGCCTGGCGTCTTTGTATTCCTGCACTATGTTCTCCATTTTCTCCACCATCCCAGACCGGCACGTCCAGTTAAGGTTAAATGTGTCGTTCACAACTACTGCATCCAGGCGGAGGTTGATACGGAGACAATCCAATTCCCCCGGCTGAAATTAGACGCAAACTTACTGACAAAATATGCAACAGACACAAACAGATCTCTGTTAGGTTAGAGTTTGAGCCTGTTTTATATTTTTCACTGGGTTTGTTTGTGTTTTGGAGAAAAGACAGCACATAAATGACAAATCAATACAAAAACTGAGCTGTAGTGCATAAGAAACCAACTTCCTTCTACAAAAACCTGATGAAATCATGTACCTTAAAAGCCTCCATGGTTATTGCATCCTGCAGCGACATCTTGTGGACCTTTTCTGGTCCCAGAACGCCACTTATCCTCTGGAGTTCAAATAAAAGATGCTTTGTCTGGTTGTGTTTTTGTCAATTTGTTGTTTTTTTTGCAGTTCTCAGTTAAAAACACAAGACATGCTGATTTATTTTCCTGAACTTGCGTAATGCTTTGGTAAAATAATTACCTTGACAATATCTTCCAAAGTGTTTTTGGAATCATCAACAGCAAGGATGTATTTTGACTTTGGTCTCATTTCAATGATGTTTTGAATCACTCTGTGAAAAAAAAATACAGAAATTTCAACTCTGATCTGACATTTTTTGAGTATAAACAAATGCAGGTATTTAAATTTACCCTCCAAGATCATAAACGTGAATCATAGGAACATAATTGGTGCCATCTCCAAATATAGGAACCTTTGGAACGTTCAGCAACCAAGATATCTAAAAATACAAAAAAAGAAAATACAGAACAAACACAAACAAAGTTGAGGTGTAAAATGCTATAGACAATTTATGTTAATATTTGAACATTTACCTTAAAAAAGTAGTGGAAAAGGTTCTCCTCCATTCCATACTGAAGTCCTGCTGCTACAACGTAACCAGTGAGCTTAGACTTTTTCTAGAAAAAAAAAGAAGAAGTTTTTTAGTATTTTCTAGCATCCGGTACTTTTGTTGGAATATTTTTTGGTAGACATTGAAATATTCATCCAGTATGAATATCACTAACCCCTTTGGTCAGTTTGAGCACACGTTTTTCCAGATCATTGTGGTTCCTGAAACTTGGATGAGGCCTTCTACTTCTGAACTCTTCCTCTGAGAAAATGGCTTCTGCGTTGTCCTAAGAAGAAAAAACATGAACTTAATGGGTGCGTTTTTGGAAAACTTTGTGTTGCGATTGCTTTTTATGATTTATGTTTTAAGCATTACTGGTTCTTGAGGTTTGGTCAAGGCCCACGTCATCACCGTGGACACTAAGATGAACATTTTCCTGGATTTAAATTGCTCCATTTTGGCATGAAGTGCTGTTTGTTAAAGATAAAAAGGTGTAAAAAATATATTCTGTGTGCTATTTGATCCCATCATTGTAAAACTTTTGTTGATGTAACATTTTCCAGCTGTAAGTATAGTGTCATTAGGTCAGTTCTTTAAATAATCTTCACATGCCACGACTTCACCTGTTATTGCCCACGTTGCTTCATCAACCTGCTGCTGTGTTGACCTTTCTGAGATGTTGTACACCACCACATCACAGTCCAGCAGGTGCCTCAAAAGCTCCTCTCTGGGTGGGGACTAGTAAAAAAGATTAAACAACCTTATTAGGGAACCAGTTTCACCTGCCATCAATCAGAAATTGACTTAATTTTTTGTTTAAAGCTGTATTAACAAAAAAAATCTTGTTCCAAAGTCATGTAAAGTAAAAGGGCCCAAAACCAAAGTAGGGGTCTGCAACCTTTATTACTGAAAGAGCAATTTATTACCATCTCTGCTAATAAATATAATTAAAATATATCCACAGAATCTACTTGAGCCTTAACATTTAGATGAAAAAGGAAATTAAGTTTCAATCATCAGGTTCTTTATTACTTAATTTTTCAAAAGACCAAACGCTGAAAACACTATAGGTTTTCATAAAGTCAGATCCATATTTCTACTTTTCTTTTATTTTTAATAATGTCCTGCTGCATGTTACATTATATTGTAACCTCTTGAAAGCTGCAATATCCAATGCACAAAAGTACTTCCTACTTTTACAACAGTCTGCCTTAAGTTTGCTGAAAGATTTGAATTTTCTAGTGATTTATTTTGAGATTTTTGGGAACAACTTCGTTCAGAGAGTTGCATAAAAAGAAGAGTTTTGAAGACGTTTAACTGAAAATCTATACAGTTGTCCCTCGTTACTCCGTGGTTCATTTTTCGTAGATTTGCTATATCGCGTTTTTTCAAAGTAAGATTGGACATGGCACAGTTGGCCGATTGATGGATGAGCCATGGATAGTTTATTTAAAATAAATTATTTAAAACGATTTTGCACCTGTGGGCAGCCCACAAGTGCAGGGGGAAGCTCCCTCCTGCAGCCTGTCATGATCTCCACTCTCTGCCACGCACACATTTCTCCTGCTGCCTCGGTTGTGTGAAGCGTTAACCCTTTGCTGTCCAAATGCACCGATCGACTTTTGTCTTCCAACTTAAAATTCAAAGTATGTCACATTGTAAAAATCGTCATAATCACAAAATGTAAAAGTGTTCGGTTATTTTTAATTATTTTAGAACTTCTATGTTCTGTTGTTACAGTGCAATTGATCAAGAAGCACATTTCTGCTCCGTGCTGCTGCTGCGTGGGTTAACCCATAGGCGTCGCAACCATTATGTGAAGGGGACGTGTCCCCCCACATTCAAAAAACGTTCATTTGGACACCCCCCCCCCCCCCACCACCACCACCACCCCATTATAAAAAATTAGATCAGACGGAGCTGTTTCTTTCTTCGTGAACAAATCCATTCCACTCAATTAATAGGAGAATACTCAAACCACTAAAATCCACTCCAGGTTTTCCTGGTTACCCCCAACTCTCCACCAACCTGCAGAGGGCTCTGCTCCTCCTGCCTTGGTAGAGAACGCTGATGACAGGTGGAGGAGACGGAGACACCTCTGTGCTGATCGCTCACCAGTTTAGCAGGTTTAGTGCGGGCAGTTGCTGACCGGGGGTTGATCATAAACATATAATGTTAGAAGGATGCTTGAGAGGAGCGCTACGTCTGTAGCATCTTATCTTAGCAGTAACTGTGACGCTGTAAGACGCTGCAGGTGTAAGAGACGCTGTGTGTTCAGGTGCATTAAAGTTGAAATGTCCTTAAAAACCCCACACCTTATTGTCCTCAAGCTTCATGAGAAACATCTTTTAGATGAGTAGTGTTGAACACAAGTAAAAAAAAGTCCAGCGGTGATGTTTGTTATTTCTTTATAAACACAAATAGTGCCGACCTGTAGTGCATTATAGTTCAAATGTCTTTAAAACAGCTGAATTTACACAAACTTGGTGAGAAACATGCTTTAAATGGAATTAAAGTAAGGAAATCGAGATGAAATGTTGCTTTTTTTTGTACAGTGTACAATTTTTGGACAATGGCGCGCGCGTGCACACACACACTATAGTGTCCCCACTCCCCACATTACAGATGCTTCTGACGCCCATGGGTTAACCCTTTGACATCCTGCTGCACTTTTTATCTACAATTTAATTTTAAATAATGAAATGTTTTAAATAAACAATATTTAAAATATTACAGTATTGAAATTGTTAATTTAAGGAGGGAGATTGGGAGTAACAGGTGATGAATGTGATTGCAGCCTGGCACATATGACAAAGTTTGCTGTACTTGAACTTGAACTACTGTCTCCCTACTTCCTGTTTTTTCACTTATCGCGCAGGGACAAGGTACGGAGCACCCGCGATAAGTGAGGGATTACTGTACCACATTCAGCTAATTCTGGTGCTGAAAGAGAGCGGGGTGTGCACTGCATTTATAATGACTGATTCTGTCTGCTAATGTCAGCTAAAAAAAAAAAAGAGTTTCCACTGGCAGCCCAATGAAGCACCTATCATCAGCACCACTTGAAAATAAATTATAAGATTTCATGCAAATATCTGGACTGTAAATTTGACAAAAGTACAATTTCCTGTTGTCATTGTAGAGATAAATGTTACTTAGGTTTATGCCATATGTGGCCAAAGTTACAAAGAGCCACTGCAGCTGTGTCTGAGGGCCACATTTGGCCCCAGAGCCACAGTTTGCAAACCCCTGAACAACTGTTTTAAATGATAGATTATACAATAAAGCCTCCATAATTTAGCTACACATTTCAGTGCAGAGACTTCCCTCACCTCATACTGTTCGTGTAGAAAGTGAAACTCGTCAGAGGATGAGGAAACGGTTCCTACGACGTGAAAAGCGGTTTCTTCTCCGGGGGAGGACAACGTCTCCTCCGTGTCTCCACCCTCAGACGGATCTCCAGCTTCACATGCTGACAAAAACTTTCCAAGGAGTTCGGAGAAATTACTACAAACTCCTGACTGATAAGTGGCTTTTTTGTGTGTTTTCACCTTTTTCCACTTTACCTTCGCAATGTGCTTTGAAGAATATCCGTCGACGTCGTTGACAAAAAATCGTTTAGCTTGCTGCTTTTTGTCGTCCATTTAAAAATAAATAAATAAATAAACAGATTCTTTAAAGATTCAAACTACTAACTAAGTACGTAAAGTGGCTATTTTATTGTGTTTATAACGACAAAAGCACAAAATAATCCGTTCGGCCTCGTCCTTCCTGTTGCTAAGGACGCCAAACGGTTGCTAACGTTGAGCCAATGAAACGCAGAGCTGCTTGTACGTAAAAAATAAAAACGTAAGACGTCATTTTACGTTAATCCCAACCGGAAGTGAATAAAACGTTATTCTATTTATTTATTAATTATAGAATTATTATAATCATTATTATTGTTATTATTATTTTTTTTTTTCTTTTTACATTTTCGTACTATTTTTCTTTTGGAAGATCATTACAGTCAGGTGGTGAGAACAATGAACGCACAAGAAGTATAAATAGTAAGGTACAACTAAGTAAAACTAATAATAATAATAATAACAATAATAATGATGATAATAATTCTATAATTAATAAATAAATAGAATAAGGTTTTAATAAGGTCTTTTTTCCCATAATGAAAAAAAAAGTGCAGTTCTTTGTGAAAGGCAACAAAGTTTGGTTTGGACTTAAGGGATCAATTTTTCTGTCAAAAAAAAAAACTTCTCTAAAATGACTATAGAGTTGATTATCAGATCATGTTCAGTTTTTTTAATTTTTAACAAGAAATCCATATATAACATTTTCTATTTTAAAATCTGGAATTTTTTACATATTTAGTTAACCAATGATGTAAATCATCCCAAAATTAATTATGCATTCATAGAATATTTGGTCTGTTGTTTCAACATGTTTGTTACAGAATTAGCGATCTTTGCACTCAAAACCAACATGTTTACATAATTAGCAGAAGGGTATATGCTGTATTCTACTGAGAACTTTAAAATTAATCTCTTTTGCTTTCGGTATAATAGGAAACTTTTAAAATATCAAGCTTAAGTGTTCATTATTAGTTAACAAAACGTTGCTAGTTTGATTTTTTTTTTTTTTTTTTTTTTTTTTTAGCTGATACCACCATTAGTTTTTCAATGGTTCTAGATACATAAAATTTAACATTCTAGTACAAAACCAAATGTAACTTATTTCAGATTGAATTAAGCACAACTTTATTCTTAACATTCATAGTAAAAATTGACATTCCAATCTATAGCTTAAACAAAAAGCAATAGACTGATTTATTTTTTATATGAATTTGTCTGTTTTTTATGTTTTTTTTTTTCTGTGAAGGTAGTGCAACTTCTGCTAGCTTCTGTGATGCCACAACATCATTCTCCAGGGAATGGCAGTTTTGTATTCTCTACACAGTTTAATGTCCCACTCTTGCTTCTTTATTTGCACAAACCAGACACACCTTTAGGTCCATAGATAGTAATACTACATCCATAGATAATATCGCTAAAATTAAAAACATCTTATCTAAAAATGATGCAGGGAAAACTGGTTCATGTATTTGTCACGTCTAGACTGGACTATTGCAATGGTTTATTATCTGGGTGTCCAAATAATTATTTAAAACATCTTCAGTTGATCCAAAATGCTGCTCCCAGAGTCTTAACTGGAGTTAGTGGGAGAGATCATATCTCTCCAGTTTTAGCTTCTCTCCATTGGCTTCCTGTCAAATCCACAATTGAATTCAAAATCTTACTTCTAACCTACAAAGCTCTCAACAACCTAGCTCCATCTTTTTATTCAAGATCTTATTGTTCCATATTTTCCTAACAGAGAACTTCACTAACAGACTGCTGGTTTATTGTGGTTCCTAGAGTTTCCAAAAGCAGAATGAAAGGAAGATCTTTCAGTTATCAGGCTCCTCTCTTGTGGAACCAACTTCCAGTTTCTGTCCGTGAGGCTGACACATTGTCCAGTTTTAAGACTGGGCTGAAGACTTTCCTTTTTGATAAATCCTATAGTTAGGGTAGGCTTATTATGCTGCCTTAAGCTTAGACTAGAGGACAAACTGACCTCATTTCCTTAAATTAATTGTTAAAATTGAATAGTTTTCATTTGATATCTCTATCTTAACATGTGATTCTTGACCTGCCATTGTGTATCTGTTCCTACCAAACCCAGCCGGTCGAAGCAGATGGCCGCTTGTTTTGAGCCTCGTTCTGCTCAATGTTTCTTCCTCACGAGGGAGGTTTTCCTTTCCACTGTCGCCTTCAAGAGCAGAGAGTTTTGCGATGGAGTTAAATTCAAAGCAGTTTGCTCCTCAGAAAAATAATTGTTAAATTATTGTTTTATATATGAATGTTTCTGTTAACTTGTTATTTTTATATATAATTGTTTTTGTTCAGTGCCCTGAGACAACTTCTGTAGTGACTTGGCATATATAAATAAACTGAACTGAATTAAATAGATCTTTTCATGGTGCAGGACAATGAAGTGATGACATGGAAACTTTAAAACACTACGTATATTTATAGAGCTGACTACGTCTGTGAACAGGCTGAAGGTGTTTGGTGACGACTGCTCTATACTAGTCTCAGCACTCACCAAAACATGCCGCTCGTACATTTGAAAAGCAGTGAGCAGATGGACTGACTGGTCAGTTTTTGCCACGTATAGTTAAAAAAACACGTTCTTCTTTAGATACAAGAGTGTTGTTATGGTTTTTCTCCAGTAACTCTGGTTTCCTCTCTTCCAGTCTTGCAGGATAAGTTAATTGGAAATTTAAAATGACCTAATTCTCATTTATTATTGAACTCTAAACATAATAAACTGTACAGCTTTCAATGTATCTACATTTTTTGTTGTTGTTGTTTTAAGAGGGCAATGCATACTCAGCAATTTAGATACTTTGTATGTTATCCTAACCAATCATCAGTTTTCTTTGCCAGCCTTTTCCTTTTTTATGTTATGGGGAGCAGGTGCCTATAATACAGATAACTTCTAATGGTATGGCTGCAGTCAATGTACTTCAGAAGTTGGAGTTTGGATCTGGGAATGACGTCGCACCAATTTAATTGTCATGGTCAAGGTGTCTTTATTGTCATTCTCACCACATGTGTTACATGGGGTGGAACGAAAGTGTGTACACAGTTACATCCAACAAAAATACAAATTGTAAAGAAAAACAGTAGTAAGATCTTAGATATGAACTAAGAAATATGTTAAATATACTAAGCACTAATAGTACAAAACGATGCGCCAACCAACAGCAGCGCGAAAATGAGTCTGTGTGAGCAGATGAGGACAGATGAGCACAGCAACATGAAATAAATCAGCAGCATGAGATCAGCATCATGGATAGTCAGCTGCACATATCAATAATAAAGTGACGTTACAGTGATTTTTTTTTCACAGAGATAATTCTGACTAGGGATTCATGAGTCTAACAGCCTCAGGGTATAAGCTGTTCCTCAGTCTAGTGGTTCTACACTTATTGCTCCTCATCCTTCTGCTTGAGGGGAGTGGGGCAAAAAGTGTGTGTGCTGGGTGAGTGGGGTCCTTCATGATGCAGGTGGCCCTCTTCCTGCATCTAGAGGTGTAGATGTCTGTGATGGTGGGGAGGCTGACTCCAACAGACTTCTGTGCAGCTTTCACCACTCTCTGCAGAGCTTTTCTTTCTGCAGTTGTGCAGCCTCCATGCCGCACAATGATGCTGGAGCACAGGATGCTCTCCACTGCACACCTGTAGAAGGAGGTGAGGACTGAGCTGCCCAGACCAGATCGTCTCAGCCGGCTGAGAAAGTAGAGGCTCTGATTGTTATCTAGCAGTTTGGAAAATCAATATGATTTTCTACTCTTTTGCGCATCAACCAGTATATTTACTATTAACAATCAGTTAATGAGTGCGTTTGCATTTGATGCGTTCAGACACTGTAGCAGCATGTTCACCAAGAGATTACGCAGAATTGGTTAATCAGATAGGAGTTGCCAGAAGTGCAAAAAATTAGTTCATAATAGAAGCTGTCACCACTTATCTAGAAGGCAGCCATATTTGTTTTTGAGGAAAATTAGGAATATTAATTTGGCCTTTCCAAGTTGGAATTCCATTTTTAGGGGATGTTGTAGTTGATTTTTCCAACTTCTAAGTACAAATGGAGTGCATGTTATTTTCAAAGTTTATTGCCCTTTTGACCTTATAAGAATGTATTATGACAATTATGGTAAAAAAAAAAAAAAAAAACTACTAAGAGCTCTATGATTGAAATTTCTATGAGGATTCGAGTGAAACAAACTTTTGAAAATCAAACTTTTTTGAGACAGCTTTGTAGAAAACATGGCTTTACAATCTTTTCTCCTGCAACAATTGTATCGAAAGTGGTCAGTCGGTGAAATAACTCCTGCCTGTGTTGCGAAGCAGTTGATGCTAACAGCTGCCAAAGTGTGTTTACGTGTGGGCTGGAATTGGAGGGTGGCGGGGGGATGCAGAGGAGGCAGCTGTCAAGACAGAAAGACTTCCTACGTTACCTTATAAGGATGAATGGCCCTCAAAACCATGACCCATTAAGGAGCAAATGGCTTTATCCTGATAAAGACCTTGTGACAAAGAAAGGATTCTGACAAATTCTTTGACTTGAAGGGCGCTGTTGACAAAACACAGCACAGATTTCACCCAGAAACTAATGTGATGTCAGAAATTTAGCTTTAGCTCAAAATCTGGGCTCATTTTCTCAAGAATTGGAGTTTAAATGCTGCTGTTGCAGACCATCTCAGGGCAAAAGACAATGAGTGCTCTCACACTATCTCTGCTGCTGCTGTAAAACTTTAAATATAGAAACTGTGCTATAGCTCAGAGACTTTGGATGTGACTGCATACAATCTGTATGTGGTACATCCAGCACCAATATGAGTTTATCCTTCCTGTTTTGCCTTTCAGAGCTAAACTCTTGAGGGTATATTTGACACTATATATAGTAAACACCATTTTAAAAAGAAAAACAAAAGGCTTAAGAGGTTAACAGTTGCTTTTGCCCATGTCTGTGTTTGTTTTATCTGTAGTGTTAAAATAATACCAGTGGAAATATTTTATTATTACATGCACATCTATAACCAATTAGCGTTTGGAATCAGTGTCTTTCAAGATGATCGTCACAGCAAAACGTCGTTATGAAACACCAAAAATGGCTACGTCAATGTCAATTTAAATATATAAAATGCAGATGCAGGAAGAGGGCCACCCGCATCATGAAGGACCCCACTCACCCAGCACACACTTTTTGCCCCACTCCCCTCAGGCAGGAGCTTGAGGAGCATTAAGTGTAGAACCACTAGACTGAGGAACAGCTTCTACCCTGAGGCTGTTAGACTCATGAATCTCTAACCAGAATAATCACTGTGAAAAAATCCCATCATGCTGCTGATTTATTTCATGTTGCTGTATTTATTTGTTCGGCGTATTGTTTTTATGCTATTAGTGCTTAGCATAATTTTAGCTAACGTTTTTCTTAGTTCATATCTTGGATCTTATTAATGTTTTTCTTTTACATTTTATTGTTGGATGTAACTTTGTGTACACAATTTCGCACATGACAAATAAAGAACTCTAACTCTATCAAAGCTAACATTTGGTGTGGTACTAAGAGAGTCACTCACCACAGATGTTCCAAGCACTAACAAATTGTTCCTGAGTTTGTGATGTCATATGAGATTGAGCTTGATGTAATTTTCAAGGTTTTAACAAACTACAAGTCGCTTCCCAACATGAGATGACCTTAGTCTAAAACTGTCAAGAAAGTCATCAGGCAACTTATCCTTCCAAGGAATGCTAGGCTTTTAATTTTAAAATTGTTCCTGATGAACTTTACAAAAACAGGCTTGAGAAGTTAATTTGAAAAAAAAGTTTACAGATTTTTTAGAAAATTCCCCGGAACTGTGTCACTTTAGTTGAAGAAGCCAAGAGACATAATTTAAAGGTCCATTTGTTACGTCAAGATGTTGCAGCGCATGACTACAAATGGAATACTTCAGGGCGCTAACAGAGGAGGAAAGGGGTGTTTACATTCCTACTATCCTAACTGCGGCCTCATAGGGCTGCAGTGTGGGGATGCAGGCGGTGTGCAGGCCGTGCACGGTGACGAACGAGGATCCTGAGCTGTCATCTCTACGTTCGGTGTGTGGCGGCGTGCAGCCTCTGGCACCCATCACACTTTATTTCCCTAAAAGGAAACGCAGGATCCAATGAGAGCTGAGAACCGTCAGCCATCGCTCCCCACACACGCCGGCTGCTGGAGGTCTCCCTAATACTGCGTGTCAGCTGTCAGGCATGGTTTAACCCCCCCCCATACTCCTTTCCACCACCCAACATACATACCACAACACAAGCAAACTGTCTCCGGCAGCTTCCCTTTGGACGACTTCTTACTTGAACCAGATCTCACATTACCACCCCCTTCTGCAATGTCCAGTTTAAGCTTAGTCATATTAACTCATTTGCAAGGACCTAGCCCGGGGGGGGGGGGGGTAACTCTACTGAATATGACTGGGAGATTCTGCTATGTATGAATCAGAGTGATAATAATGAGGCTTTGAAGTGTTCAAATCACTGTCACACCTTCACACACTATATTCTTCTATAAAAATGTACATAAAAATCTTAAACGAGAACAAGACATGGTCGGATTTAACAAATTAATTAATTGCCCCTTTATAATAAAACCTCCTTTTCTTGGTGTTTACTGTCCATCTGTCTGTGGCTTTTAAATTGCCAAGTCAATGTCTCTCCCATTTGGAGGCATCCCTGACACAGGATCTACTTTACGTTGTCATTTTGCTGAGCAACTCTTAATTTGGACTTGTATGAGGTCCTAACCCCACCCACCAAGCCCTCACTGCCCCCTCTCACTCCAACCTCCCAGACCTAGCATGCTGAAACATATTTAAGGAGCCCATCACACCCTGCTGGCCCACCGTGTCCCAGTAGAAACTCCAGTCTTGTGGTTACAGCTTGGTGAGTGCCTTTAATGTCTTACTTCATTTTTTTTTTTTTAAGGGTTGGACAAGATGAAAAGATGCAACTGCTGTCGGGGAACATAAGTATATGGATGTGGAGCAGCATTTACAGGATTTTTTTCTTATTCTTGTGTGAGGCTAAAGGATGAGAGTAGAGTAGGATGCAAAAAACTGTTACATTGTTTAATTTGAGGATGCCAGATATTGGATGCTTTGCCATAATCAGCTTACAGAAGCACAAGAAGTTCATTTAACACTAGAAAACAAAACAAATCATAATTGCTTTGGTGGTTTTGATTGTAATGTGATGTGTAAAATTGAATTTAAGCCATTCTGTATTGCTTAAACTCACTTTAATAAAATTCTAATTTGTTGGGATAAAATATATATATATATATATATATATATATATATTTAATTGTCAAGGCTTTCTTGGTTCAATAAAAGATTAACAAAAAATATATATATATAACAATCTGAAAGTATTTTTTACGGTGGTATTTACTGGTATTTAAAAAATAGAGTTGTACACAACTGTAAACCCTAAATATGTGTAGCAATTGTAAATGACATGTTCTTTTATTACCAGGTAATTGGACATGTCTATACAGTCAAATGTGATTTTCTGTTATTTACTCAAATCTGCAACTAAATGCATTAAAATGAAAAAGAGAAAAACTGAAAGATGAGTCAGACAAGAATTAGTTAGAAATACACCACCGTGTTAAGTCTTATTAATTTGAAGCATCTCTAATTCAGCCAATAAAGTGAATCCTGAAAATGAAGCTGGCAGTTGTGATGAAAAAGTCCTGAGAAGATCCGAGCACATGGTCAACAGTTGATCATGGAGTGACAGCTGAGAGGAGACCCAGGCCTCCTGCGCCACTTGTCAAAACACACATCGCCTCAGCTGTTAACTGGCTCCAGCTTAACAATAAGATACAGAAAAGAGTTGAGGGGTTCGGAGGTTTAAAATAGACCAGTGACTGCGTTTAAAGGGGTCCAGGTTTATCTCTGTAGGCAGCTGCATGACTCAGACAGATTAGCGCACTCAGTGGTTCCTCATACTGAACATAGAACAGAGTAGTTTTACAGATTCACTCGTTTTTAGTTAACTGACAAGAACTTTTCAATTAATGTTGCATTAATATCACAAATTAACGCTTTTTGTGTGTTTTGTCTTCTAAAGCCTGCACGAAACATTAAACATGTGTGACGACGATGAGACCACCGCCTTGGTGTGCGACAACGGCTCTGGCCTGGTCAAGGCTGGGTTTGCTGGTGATGACGCTCCCCGCGCCGTCTTTCCGTCTATCGTTGGACGCCCCCGTCACCAGGTTAGACAACTAGAACTATCCCGAGTTCTTTCTAAGACTCAGTTTATGAAGGCGTACCCCATGGCTGTGTTTATTTTGAGATGAGATGTGTTTTTTTTCATTAACAGGGTGTAATGGTAGGCATGGGTCAGAAGGACAGCTACGTGGGAGATGAGGCCCAGAGCAAAAGAGGTATCTTGACTCTGAAGTACCCAATCGAGCATGGCATCATTACTAACTGGGATGACATGGAGAAGGTAAGAAATCAAGATATCAACAAGAAATATTAAGTCAGGAGAGACAAAAGTTGTAATGTCCTACATTGGAGAAAATTAATGATTTCCTCACTTATTTCATAGATCTGGCACCACACCTTCTACAATGAGCTCCGTGTGGCCCCAGAGGAGCATCCCACCCTGCTTACTGAAGCCCCCCTTAACCCTAAAGCTAACAGAGAGAAGATGACCCAGATCATGTTTGAGACCTTCAATGTCCCTGCCATGTATGTGGCCATCCAGGCCGTGCTGTCCCTCTATGCATCTGGTCGCACCACTGGTGAGTCAGGAATTAGCAAGATAAGCACACTTGAAATTATGTATTTATTTTTAAACACCTGCTTTCTCTGGACAGGTATTGTGCTGGACTCTGGAGATGGCGTGACCCACAACGTACCCATCTATGAGGGTTACGCTCTGCCCCACGCCATCATGCGTCTGGATCTGGCTGGTCGTGACCTGACCGACTACCTGATGAAAATCCTGACTGAGCGTGGCTACTCATTCGTCACCACGGGTAAGATGATGTGACAATCAACCAACTTCTTACAAAACATCTGTAACTCCATTGTGTGAGAAAGATTTAACAATAAGTCATTGAACGCTGTTAGGGCAGCTGGACACCACTAATTTAGAAGACAATTAATAGACCATAGCTTTCCTTTAAGTAGTTTTATACGAATAAACTTACATTTGACATAACTTCTTTTAAATTAAACCACTCATTTGCCTAGTTTGGTGTCAGTACTGAGACTTACTGTTCATTTTTTGACTGGACTGATTTTTTTCTTCTTCGTCAGCTGAGCGTGAGATTGTACGAGACATCAAAGAGAAGCTGTGCTACGTAGCGTTGGACTTTGAGAATGAAATGGCCACAGCTGCCTCCTCTTCCTCCCTGGAGAAGAGCTACGAGCTGCCCGACGGTCAGGTCATCACCATCGGCAACGAGCGTTTCCGCTGCCCAGAGACGCTGTTCCAGCCTTCCTTCATCGGTGAGAAGATGATGCAAACGCCACGTGCTGAGTAGACTGTGGAGATGTGACTACTGTTGCTGTCAGCTCCGCAATCGTAACTTTTCGCGTTTATTTTCTCAGGTATGGAGTCCGCCGGCATCCATGAAACTGCCTACAACAGCATCATGAAATGCGACATTGACATTCGTAAGGACTTATACGCCAACAACGTGCTATCAGGCGGCACCACCATGTACCCTGGTATTGCTGACCGCATGCAGAAAGAGATCACTGCTCTGGCCCCAAGCACCATGAAGATCAAGGTGGGCATGACTTAGGAAATGTCTTCATCTACACGGTTCCCTGCGTTTGAAAGCGATACCAACTCTGGCGTTTTTCTTCTTTCCCTACAGATCATCGCTCCTCCTGAGAGGAAATACTCCGTTTGGATCGGTGGCTCCATCCTGGCCTCTCTGTCCACCTTCCAGCAGATGTGGATCAGCAAGCAGGAGTATGATGAGGCTGGCCCCTCCATTGTCCACAGGAAGTGCTTCTAAATTTCCAGTCCGTACCAAAACACCAACAAAAACTAGCTTTCGTTCCATATCTTTATTTCTACTGTTTTTTATGTATATACATGTACTGTTGTAATAAAAAAATAGTTTTTTTTTTTTTAAGTAATCCGGAGCATTGGAGTTTATCTCAATATGTGAGTGGGGAGCAATTTTTAATTCACTTGTAAGATGAGTCTGATCTGAACAACGTGGTGGCCATTGGCGTCAGCAGCATTTGCAGGGGCCGGGGGGACACACTGGTGGGGGGGCTCTGGGGTCCTCCCTGAGAAAATTATCAATAAAGTAGAGGCCATTTCCTGCATTCTGGTGCATTTTAATAGGTTGTTAAACATCTATGTTTACCTCCATAAGTAAACATTTGATTCAATAAGAGACCTCAGCACAACAAGAAGTAGCGCTAAGCTAGCTAGCTAAGATGCTACAGACGTAACGCTCTGCTTTACTTTACACAACCTAATAAACACTTTGTACAAAATCAGATTAGTGTTAACTGATCATAACAAACAAAGACTAAAATGCAACCAGGAGTTACAACATATATTTACATACAACACACACAAAACAAAGTAAAACTAGCTTTAAACATTAACCTTTAATTTAGCCATTGAGCATACTGTACACTGTAATTATGACAGAAAATGGAGGATTTCCTTTCAGTTACCTTCCTACAGATGAACATGTGGTACTTCCTGTTTATCACTGTTGTACTGTTCATGAGGTCGGCCACAGGGCTTTTTTCCATCTTTTACATTTTTTCAGACTCAGTTTAGGTTTTGGAAATAGAATAAACTGTATTCCAGCCTCTAAAGCAGGGTTATTCAACTAAACTGCTCAGGGGGCCACAGTTACTGAAAGACAGCAGTTCAGGGGCCGGACATCCAGTATTTAAAGTCATTATGTAAATAAACCAAGTACTACAATGATCTGTTACCTTTTTAAATTTGTTTATTTTGTTGCATTGAATCATAAATGCAATAAAGACCCCCAAAAAGAGGCTAAAATCACCTCTGAGCCTGATTAGACTCCTTGATTATAATTTTATTGGTAAAACTCAACAGCATCAGTTGCATAAATTACCATCCTTGTTATGTTACATTAATATTTTTAAAAGCATGCAGTAGACACTTAAACACGGGTATTTAATGACGTGTAAAATATACATATTCAGATCTACACCATCATAATCAAGTATTAAATATATAAGCAACATATGTCTTGAAAATATTACTTGTAATGGGATGTAAATAAATGTCATAAATATTAAGCACAACTGTTTTATGAAACTACATAAACCACAAATGTAAAAAAGGATAAATATTTTACTGCAGTTTTTCTATGTATCTAATTATATCCATGATTGTGTTTAAATCAGTTGTCTGCAGGAAGCCATCTTAAATCTAAACCCAAAAGGTAATTAAATGTACATACTTTCTGATGGTTTTATTTAAAATTTACCAGAGGTTCATGAGATATTTTGCTAACACACATGTCAAACTCACATAGACTCAGACAAAATCATAATAAAAAAGAATTTAAAAAATCAGTACATCGAAAAGCTTTTTCAAAAATCTGAAACCGGTTTTCTTTTGTCGGTTGCCAATTAAGTCAAATTTATTTATAAAGCATATTTAAAAACAGCAGGTGTTAGCAAAGTGCTTAACAATAAAAATCAGTGGCAGTAATTTAATTAAAACAGTGTTAATCATGTCAAAACCATTTTGTGGCTACATGTATTTCTTTAAAAGCAGTTAGAAAATATATAAATGTCAGTCTAAAGTTTGAACTGAGACATATTAAAAGTTAAATCTCATTTCTACTATGGTCCTCGTGTTACCTGAATGCATCACCTTCGTATCACAGCTGATAGAGATGAGTGTGATGAAGCTCAGTTTCTCAGTTTAACAGACTTTATGGTGAAACACTGAAAGTCTCTTTTTTTTTTTGTTGTTGTAATCTTTCAAGTAAAGTCATGAAGATTGCAGACAGTAATGTGATTCGGTTTCACCTTCAAGATCTTTATGGGATATCTGTAAGCAGGTTTGGAAAGAAAAAGGACACGCTGCTCCTCAGTGGTGCAAAAGTTTTTGGCGCTCCTCTGGAAAATTTACCAACACGATACATTCCTGAGTTTGGACTTGTGCCCTGGTGAGTGGAAATGAAAAGACTGGAATATCTGATAACACTTTATGAGGAAAAATAAAAAAAAAATGTTCACAGTTTTGACATGGTTTGTGTTTTAGCTTCTTACTGGATGCTTCTCGTTTTCTGTTGGGGCGTGCTGGGACTGTGGGCCTGTTCAGGAAACCAGGCTCTCTTCCTCGCATTAAAAATCTGAGGGTAAGATTTAAGGTTTTTTAGATAATTAATTATACCATCAGGTGTTTGAACAAATGCGGATCTACTACAATTACTGTGATCATGCAAAAATAAATAAATGGCAATTGTTCAGTTTTAAATCCTGCATTAAAAGTCATGTCTTTTAACTTTTAAACCATTTTTGGTGATTCTGATGCAAAGTTCTCGTGTGTCTGCTTTAGGCAAAGCTGAACCAAGGCGAGGGGTGTCTGTCCACAGCCTCCCCGTACGACGTTGCCACCCTCATCAAACAGTTTTGCAGAGAACTTCCAGAGCCTCTGTTCCCCTCTGAGCTCCACGCCGCTCTGCTCAAAGCTCAAGAACAACCCGACCCGCAGGACAGGATGGCAGCCCTGCAGCTGCTGACCTGTCTGCTTCCAGCCAGAAACGCCTCCTGCTTGCATTATCTGTTCGACTTCCTCTGCAAAGTTTCGAAAAGGTATGAAAGGGAAGTTGCAAATAATGTAGGGACATAGTCAAATGTACAAAAAGGGTTACTGTAATTTTGCAACAATAAACTTATTCTGCTGTTATTTTTGAGAAATAAACTGGATGGTGAGGAAAAATGGAATAATACATAATTCTTTGAGGCATGAACAATGTGCTGATAGAATAACTGCTAAATTATATTTGATATTTTAGATGCATGTCTGTCCCTGGCAGAGCGGTTTAGCTTTGCTCCCATGTTGCATATTAACACTAAGATTGTACAATTTTGGTGGAAATGAGCCAAATTGACACATCCTTAATTTTACTGTACAATAATGAAAGTGTCTGTTTGTAGGATATGCATGTCACAAGCACTTTTAAATTCAGAAACTGCTGATTTATTTTCTTTGACCTGCATCATCTTAGTCTCTACTGGCAGCAAGCTTGACTGTCAGAATACTAAAAGTCTGCAACTTGTATCACTGTTGGAACATGATCTGCTTTCTCGAACCTTCTCCCCGTTTATAAAGTAACTTGAGTTACCATATTTTTTTGGATTATAAGGCGCATCAAGCGACATAAAACGGTCGGATCAAACTGTATTCAACTCATTCACAGTAACTCAACATTGTTCAGTTGCAACGCATAAAATCAGTTCGAGGTCATTAAGCACAACTAGAATTAATACACGGATTATAAGGCTCGCTGTCGATTTTTGAGAAAAATTAAAGGATTTTAAGTGTGCCATATAGTTGAAAAATGCGTTGATACAGAACCTCCTTGGCGTTTCCTCCAAGTAGGTATTTCTTCTGACCCAAAAGGAAGCCGTATCTTGTAGTGTTGTAGAACTCGAGACCGGTCTTGGTCTTAAGACTGGTCTCAAGACCACTTTTTGATGGTATCGGTCTTGTCTCGGACATTGAGGACTCGGGATTTTATTTCAAGACCACAACTGTGGAAATATCACTAAATTGCCAGAATATTGTCCAGTTTATTTGTTAACATCTTTTTGTTTTTATTGGATGCAAAACGTACTGGTTCAAATCAAAGAAATAACGTGACTCATTGCCAAATACGTGTTTTGTTACTGCTGTCACGCCCTTTCACTCGCCTCACTGTGAGGCCAGATTGGGCGGTTTTCATTCACTTCTCTGTGCTCTTATTAGATGCACTGACAACCTGATGACCAGCTCCAATCTCGCCACAGTCTTCGCTCCGTGTCTGTTACCACCTCCAAACAAGACAGAAATGTCTGAAGGACGACTCAAACTCAGAGTTGTGGTGCTGCAAACGTTCACTGAGAACCCCAGTCTATTTGGTAACGGAATGATCGCTGTATTTATTGTTTACAAAGTTTTCTATAAATGGTAATACCTGTTGTTCACATCTATCAGGTGTGATTCCCAAAGACATAATGGACAGTATGGAATTTCTCGTTAACTTCCATTTTCTGAAAGATGTAAATCCGAAGAAAGGAAACCGGAAGATGAATGCTTTTAAAGGTAAAATGAAGTTAACCAAAATTTAGGTGAAAATTGTAGTTTCTTATCGACCTTCTTGTTTTTTCTTCCATGCAGAGATTCGATCTGGAAGAACGGCGTCCTGGTTTCAGGGTAGGTCAAAGATCAAACGGGGAAACTCTGAGCCGAGCTGCATGTCCACAGAAGACAAATCGAAGCTGAGGAGAAGCCTCGGCCTGGAGAGTTTCCCCAACATCCAGCTGTTCAGGACCTGCATGCATCAGCAAGGTAAATGCAGTCATTGTGAAACAGGATACATCTGTCTATTCTACAAGAAGGCATGACACAGATGTTTTTAGATCAAGGCTTCAGACCTGCAGCAGCTGTGACGGATGACTTTAACCCTGCAGACAAAGAGCTGAGCAAGCATCCTGTGCTCTCTGCTGTGGAGAAACTTGCAAACTGGAGAAGACGCTCTGCACCATAATTGATCCATTATTGTCTGGTAGCCCTCATTCGAGGGTCATTTTATTCATCTTTTCTCTTTTAATGCAATCCAAAATGACAAACTTTGTACATTTTTAATAAATGTTTTCCAACAAGACTGCTGGGTTAATTTTTTTTTTTTTTTAGAGATTTTTGTGTTTATTACATATGCAAGCATGTTAAAAGGCGTACTTGGAAATCAAGAATTTAGGAAATGTGTCGAAGAGCAAAATAAATTGGAGTGTATAGTCTGTAAAAGAGCATGACATGTACTTTTATGCTATATATTTTGTAAAACATGTAAATTTACACTTGACAATGATAAATCTGGGAAAATCTGCTGTAACGTGACACATGTCATGAAAGGAGAAAAATATTTTCTTGAATGTGCGCAGCAGTTACCGGAAACATACCGGAAATGAAGTCCCTTCAGAATAAATAAAACGGTTAAGCGTATCATGACAAACTGCAAAAGGCACACAACACACTTCTACTTTTAAGACTTAATAATACTCAAAATATAAATATATAGAGATTTTTTCCCCATTAATGTACCTAAACACCTAGATGTCGAGGTCAATTATTTTACTTTGAAAACCAGCTTTGTTTGTCGCTAGCATGGTAATGGTCGCTAGCTTGATAGATTAGCAGGTTGCGCGTACCAGGTAAGGTGGAAAATAAACACAGAAATCTCATCTAAACATTTTTAGAGCTTTGTAGCAATAGAGCTGTATACAACACTGACGTCAAATTAAATCGCTTTTATAATTTAAGGTGTATCTGGATCATATTTGCCATTTATTGCTATTATAAATCAGCGTTGCGCATCATCAAAGCTTTACTACATTTTAAACAAGAACCTGCTTTTTTTTTTTTAACGTTTTATTAGCCACAACTTCAATGTATATAATGGGTCCCTGCCTAGATTATAATTAGTTCATTATCGTGTATTTAACACGACAGACGCAGCTGTTTGTTCATGAAATAACACGCCCCGCTGCACATCTGTACACTGTGTGCGTTTCAAACCCCGCAGATGACAGAAATGGGATCCTCGGTGCGGTTGTCGTTGTTGGGCCTCCTCCTGTGCCTGCAGGCCGGCAGAGCTCCAGCCCGCAGCCCCCGCACGGCCGACCAGGTGTCGGAGGCCGACATCCAGCGGCTGCTGCACGGCGTCATGGAGCAGCTGGGCATCGCTCGGCCCCGCGTGGAGTATCCCGCACACCAGGCCACGAACATCGTGGGGCCTCAGAGCATCCAGGGTGGGGGGTTGGGATTTACACTTTATTTACATCCTATAATAAGTTTAGTTTTCCTTATTGTTTTTTTTTTTAAGTTAAAAAAAAAACACGTCCTATACTTAAATACATGATTTTCAGGCCAATAATTTGGTTTTACACTCAAATAGTCATTAGGCGCATTTTCATGTTATATCCTGTATAAATAAAGGTTAAATAAAAAATATCCTGATGAAGCATCTAAACGTGGTGCCTGTTTTTGACTGCAGTGCGTGTTCCCCTCCACCAGGTGGCGCTCATGAAGGGCTGCAGCACCTCGGTCCTTATGGGAACATCCCCAACATCGTGGCTGAGCTGACAGGAGACAATGTTCCCAAAGACTTCAGTGATGACCACAGCTACCCGGACCCTCCAAACCCCTGTCCAATTGGAAAAACAGGTGGAAAAGTCTCGTTCTAAATTAAATTTTATTATTTTTGGCAAACCAGCAGGGTGTAAACATGGCTGTTTGGGTCAGAACAGGGCATACTTTATGATTAGCTATGCGTGTTTGTCCTTTCTAGCATTCCTCTGTGAGCTCTAAATATTACACTCTGCCCTCACAGTTGGAGACGGATGTTTGGAGAATGCTCCTGACACAGCCGAGTTCAGCAGAGAGTTTCAGAAACATCAGCACCTGTTTGACCCAGAACATGACTATCCAGCTCTGGCCAAGTGGGTGAGTACAGAGCTGTGCAGGAAGCATGAAATAATCATAACCAAGATTTATTTCTTCATTATTTGTTCTTCGTGTAGCATTTTTTTTTGTTCTAAAACTAAAATCAAATGATCAAACAAGAGAGAAAAGCTTCGATTTAGCAAAAAATAGTCATTTCCTGTTTATTTTTTAAATTGCTTTAATTCGCAGTTTGTACACCTTGTTTATTAATATTACGTTCGTTTGAAAAATGTGGGATTTACTGAACTGTTCTGACTGGACCAGAACAACAAGGCAGATGTGCAATTGCCCCTAGAAAACCACAAAAAAAAAAAAAACTTTTTCAGTGTTATAACAATAATTTCCAATATAAATGAGATGATTTGCATTTTCTGTTAAAAATCAATGAAAATTCTGTGAGCTGGATGACTTTGCAGAAGCTGAAACTAAGCTAAAAGAAACTAAATGCTAGCTAAAAGTAGCAAAACTGCATCTAGAAGCCAAAAGTAGTAAAGGTCAAGTTAAAAGCAGCAAAGCTGTTGCTAAAAGTAGCAGAATGAACAGCTCTTGATGTGTTTCTATGGGGAAAATGTTTTAAGTCAAGTTGGACATTTAAAAAAAATATATAAAAGGTACAAAAACCTCATTTTAAAGCACCCATCTCCTGACAGAGCTGAATGCTTTGCTACAAGCTATGAATGGCTAAAACATGTAGAAGTTGTTAGATTGCAAAACTAAACGTGCACAACTCATTGTTTTTGTTTTTATCTTTAAATCTGTTTTTCACCGAGTTTTTGTGTTCTGAAAACATCATTGGGGCAGTTTGTTGCCCGTCCTTTCAGGAGCTGTAAAACTAAAGATATGTGACTTTTATTTTTTACATAACATTATTTGTTTCTGTGGTTCCTTACAGAACAAAGAGCTTTTGTACCAAAAACTGAAGGGCGGACCAAAAAGAAGAAAAAGGGTATAATGTTTTTTAAATAATATGTTGGATTGTGCCTTAAAAAATCTAATACGTGTCACTAAAGGGCTCATATACGCATTGGTTTATTTTGGGCATATATTAATACTTCAGCTTTTATATATTTCGTGCATCTGTCCACAGAGTGTCAACCCGTTTTTACTGGGTCAGAGGCTCGACAATGTGGTCGCCAAGAAATCAGTTCCCCACTACCCTGAGGAAGAGGAGGAGGAAGCACCGACCATCTCAGCTCCCAGCAAACCTACAGTCTGAACTCTAAACTGAAAGTGCCCTCAGTTCTTTACGCTACATCAATGAGAAACTGTCAAATGCAATGGTTGGTTGTGTTATATAAATATATACACAGGCCCAGATCTTTGTTTGTAATGAGCAACAACGCTGTGGTTCTGTTTTAGCTTCTGCTTTAGCTTCTGCTTTAGCTTCTGCTTTAGCTTCTGCTTTAGCTTCTGCTTTAGCTTCTGCTTCCAACATGTTGCACGAGAGAACCTGACGTGAAAACTCAACATTTTCTGAAAGAGTGAAACAGCTACATCATCATGGGCATCTTTCCTCTAAAGTTAAAGACAACTTACTCCTAAAAATTTATATTAAAATACACGTACATTTTTTTTATTTTTGAACCTCAGAGTCATTTCAAACAAAGAATAAGAATTAAAATGAAATCCCTTGAGGGAAAATATTTTAAATTTCAGCAAGACAAATATAATTCAACTATCAGCTAAATGTTAAAATGAACTGAGCTTACTGTTGTTCTCAAATCATTCATAACAAATTCTAAATTCTTGAGCCCAGAATATGAACTGTGTTATGCTGTGAACCTGCAGCTGGATTTAGATTTACTGAACGTTCTTCATAAAGTTACGTTAACCAGACATCTTTCACCGTGAAGTTTTTGTGTGCCAACATTTACACATGCCTGTTAAATCAAAAACTAATTTTCTTTAAATATCTAGAAGCACAAATGTCTTTGTTGTAAAGAACATGATGGTGACCAGTTTCCAGTCCAGCAGCAGCTGGAAGTCTCAGCACAGACTCTTATCTTGTTTACCGCATCTTGTCAAAATGTTTGTGTTCTGTTTTTGTTCCGTGAAGTCAAATAAACGATTTATCTGCATTGACAAACTCCGCTGTAGTTTTTATTTATTTATTTTTCTAAGTTCCCAGACTGATAAGGTGAGGATCTGGGTTTGGGGAGGGGGGGAGTCTGCTGAAACTCAAGACCTGGTGGAGAGACATTCCGAGTCACTCCAGAGGACGCAGGACTTCAGGCAGGAACACACCCTGGTAACTGTGACAGAATAGAGTGATGTGGATTTTGCACACAGCAGGTAAATCAACTTCCAGATGCACATTTTATCTCTGTTTAAAAAAAAAAAACTACTTAGGAGAAAAATGCTTTGTTTGTTTCATGCGTAATCTGTGCGTAAAAGCTGTGCGTAAAACCCTCTCCATCTGTGACTGACTCCTGTTGTTTTCCTTCCAGCTTTAAAGATGCAGTCCCCCTCGGTGCTGATCTTTGCCACAGTTCTGGCTCTGCTTCACGCCCCATCGTGCAGCACAGACCCGGGTCCAGTTCAGGCCGCCTTCCCTCACCCGAACAAGTACAACCCGAACGAACCGGAAGGGTGTCTCCTGCCGCCCATCGGTGGGCTCCTCTCCCGCGGAGCAGGTCCCGTAGCTTCAACGGACGAGGTGTTGGAGTCCAGCCAGGAGGCCCTGCTCGTCACGGAGCGTCGGTACCTGCGACTGGACTGGTGCAAGACGCAGCCGCTGAAGCAGACCATCCAGGAGGAGGGCTGCCTGAGCCGAACCATCATCAACCGCTTCTGCTACGGACAGTGCAACTCCTTCTACATCCCGCGGCACACCTACCAGGACGGGAGCGCGTTCCAGTCCTGCTCCGCCTGCAAACCCAAAACGTTCAGCACCGTCACGTACACGCTTTTCTGTCCGGGACAGACGCCCAGCACGCGGAGGAAGCGGGTCCAGCGCGTGAAGCAGTGCCGCTGCGCCACCGTCAAAACGGAGTGAAGCCACTTTGGAAATAAAACGGACTGCGCACAATCAGAAGGATAAATGTGAGGAGCTTGACTAAAATGAAATGCTAGACACGAGACTCATTAAGAGTTGCCCCAAAGGTAAAAATGTATCACACCGACTACAAATCTTAACATTAAATGTTCATTTAACCCCAAGGAGTTAGTCCTTGTTTGCGTAAAAGTCTCCAGAGGATGACTGACACGTGTTGGAGCAAAGTTTCCTTCCAGTGGGATTACATTTCATGACTGATGGAGGAGAAAAAAGACATTCAAGAAGACTGATCTTTTCCACTGTGTGGGATTTTGATATATATTACATATATTCTTATTTTTATGTCAATCTATATTCAACTGCAGTGAATGCTTCTTGATTTAGTAAATCATGTATTCTTACAACCTCTGTAAATAAAATCACAATCAAGAGGTCGTCTTACAGATCTGATCAGTGTTTGTGGAAAAAATATACAAACCTTCCAAAAGAATCGATGCAAAACGTCAATTTTATTTAAGAAATTATAATTAAAGATGCATTTTTTTTATAAATTAAAATATTTACATTTAATCTAGCACGTTTTAAAGCTGTTGATGGTGAAAGAGTAAAGGATAAATATATGTGCACGCTGGTTTGGTTTCCTGATCCAGTTCCATTCTGGTCCAGCTTTGTGAGGATCTCCATTTCTTTGGGTTGATGCAGAAGTTCTCGTTTTTAACTCCAGAGTTCCTTAAATTGCAGGCACGACGGCTTCTTTCTGACGTAGTCGCTCTTTCTGTCGGGGGTAAGTCATTGGAATAAAAGCTCAGTTTCATTCATTAAAGTTCAGCCAATCTAAACAGTGGATGTAGGTTTGTACCATGTTTATCATTTAATTTGCATTTGCTGATAAACCTGGTCTTACCAGGCTGTTGGGGTTGATCTTTCTCGTCTCCACTTTCGCCTCTCCTGTGATCCTCCTCACTGACAGCTGAGCGTCTTTTAGCCTGTTGTTTCAGAACAGTCCATCAAACCAGAGCATTCAGAGAAGATATGTCTCACAAGACGATGTTTGTAAAAAAAAATAAAAAATCTGATGCGAGTACAAGGGAAACTCAGTTTGGTAAAAGTAATATGGTTTTCTTTTAAAATGCATAAACTCCATCACCGTTTTTATTTTCCAAACTACTCGGGGTATTAGTTGTTTTTAAATAATGTGGTTTGATCGGACATTAAAATACTTCTGTAAATAATGTAGCTCTAAAAACAACAGCAGATCATCTGATAAAATCTCTAGCAGAGACAAAGAGGACTTTTCCCTTGAAAGAAGAGGGACCATCACCCAACAGTCATATGAGGCAGTGGTTGTTGAGAAGATCTTCAGAAATAGATTAACTTTAAAAATAATCGCCAATAGCATATCTAACAAGATCGAGGATTGGTTCTTTGTTGAACCGTTTATCTAAAAGACTTCAGTCTGTTGGAGGAGGTAGAAAAGAGAGCCTTGACGTCCTTTTCAGGGACACCACCAAGTCACTGGTTCAGGTATGTTGACGACACCTGGGTTAAAATCAAATCTCAGGAAGTCCAACATTTTACTGACCACATCAACTCTGTGGATAAATACATCAAGTTCACACGAGAAGATGTAAAAAATGGCAGGCTGGCTTTCTTGGACTGTGAGGTCTCAGTCTCTGATAGAGGACATTTTCAAACTGAGGTGTACCGCAAACCCACACACACAGACCAGTATATGTGGTTTGACTCCCATCACCCTTTGGAGCACAAGTTAGGAGTCATCAGGACTCTGTACCACAGAGCAGACAGCATCCCCACTAACTCAGGAGCCAGGCAGAAGGAGAAATCCCACACAAGACAGGCTCTAGAGCAATGTGGATATCCTAACTGGGCCTTCCTGAAAGCAGAGAAGAAACCCAAACAGGACTCCAGTCAGCCAACAGGTGAAAAGGAGGAACCCAGACCCAGACCAGTGGTCATTCCATATGTTGAGGGAGTATCAGAGAAACTGAGACGTTTATTTTCTAAACATAAAGTCCCAGTGGCTTTAAACCCCAAAATACATTACGGCAAAGACTGGTTCATCCCAAAGATCCAGTCCCCCGGCACAAACAGAGTAATGTTGTGTATGCTGTTCAGTGTCAGGAGGGTGATCAGTCTTACATCGGGGAAACAAAACAGCCACTGGCCAAAAGGATGGCCCAGCACAGAAGATCAACATCATCAGGCCAGGACTCTGCGGTCTACACTCATCTTCAGGCCAGCGGTCACTCTTTCAAGGATGAAGATGTTCACATCCTGGACAGAGAGGAACGATGGTTTGAGAGAGGAGTAAAGGAGGCCATCTTTGTGAAAAGAAACCGTCCATCATTAAACAGGGGTGGAGGCCTCCGGGTTCAACTGTCCCCCTCTTACAATGCTGTGATTGCTAGTATCACTCAGCCCTCTGTGAGTAGTAAACAGCCATCAGGTGCTAATGATCCATCGTTAGACTGATGGTCCTCCTTTTCCATGTGAACAACTACTGTAGTTCTGGGTGTCACCAACACATTGGTTGATCCACCATGAGAAGGTGCTATTTATAAGACTGAGTTCGTTGCAGCTCCTCAGACTGAACAAGTCTTCTGGATAAACGACAAAACGTTTCAACAAAAAGAATCCGTCCAGAGGACCTGACTCAACCTGGTTACATTTATCTCCATGGATTACTGAGCATGCGTCAGGACTCCATATTTAACCTAAACTGCTCCAAAGAAATGAAAGCAGGCACAACAAAAAGATAAAAATAATGTAAGAGCTGGTAAGGCTCTGTGTTTAACAGCTTCCTCGCAGCTTCTCTGTAGCCTTTGCAGCTTTTATTTTATGGGTCCAAAGCTCAACGTTTGGGAGTCAAAGAGCCATTTCTTGTAAATCTGACAGCTTCTGTTACACCCAGAATGTGGAATACCTTTCTTTAGAGATGTTCTTGTTTTCTCTCTTCCATCTGCACTTGAAATCAGCGCAGAACTCAAACCAGAGCATGAAGAGGTGTCCCGCCGTCACCTCCTTCTCTCCTGGTTTGGGTTTCAGCCCCAAGTACAGAACCAGGTCCTGGAAACTGAACACAAAGTAAACAATAGGAACAAAGTAGAAATATGTTTTTTATATCTATAAGCTCTTATATTTGTGGTTCTATTTGATCCAGATGGTTTCAGGTAAACATTAGATGACTACTTATAAAGACTTTGTGACAGTTTAGTTTGACCTGTTAACAAATACTGAGACTATTTAAATGATTCTTAAGGAATAATCCCGCTTGGATGGCAGATTTATTCTTCAAAGGACGTCTGAGTTAAAAGCAGCTGCAGCTTTTGAGAGTTGAACTCGGTGAAAACGTCATTTTTGATATTTTAATCATTATGGAATAATAATTTGTTTGCGGCGACTGTGTGTTGGACATGCTGTGTTCAATTTGACGTTTTGTCATAAATTGGTGCAAATTGAACAGAATCGAGTCAAATCAACTTTTTGGTGACCTTGCTGTTTGAATTCTACTGGTTCTAACTGGTTTCTCGTGTGTGAAACAATTTAATGGGAAAGAAAAGATTAGAAACAGACAAGAACCGAAACATGGTTAATTTTTTTTTCTCTTTTAATTGAAAAGATTTTTGAATCAATTTAAAAGCATCAAAGCAATAGACAAGATGGAAATGCAACTAATTATCCAGAAAGATGATGTTAAAGGTGAGGAAGCTGATGACTCTGCTGTGAACAAGGCCAGGCTGATTCTGGCAGATCCCGATCATCCACTCCATGGTGAGTTCAGGTTCCAGCTGGACGCAGGTACTGTACTTTTCGCTCTATAAGTCGTTTTTTGCATTAATTAAGCCTTTTGCATAATTTGCATGCCCTGAGACTTATACGCTGAAGCAACATATTTATGGATCCCCCTCATATTTATAAACCAATTTTTGGCTGAGATATGACCTTTTTCATTCATTCTGACTGAAAATATTGAATACTACCATTTTCAGTCGCTCATGGCACCTGAGTAGTAAGGCATGCTGTTGTGTCATGTAATAGGGAAAAGTAGCTATTAATGACACAATCGGCTTGCCATAGCTTGCCTCCTTCGTTCTGCTCGCATGGAGCAACTGTCAAATCAGCTTCATTTCGCTGCGCCGGCCCAGCGAAATGAAGCTGATTTGACCATTAAAGTGCATTTATTAAGTAAAAGTTCAACTGGACACACCTTTACTATAATGTCGAGTAAACAAATAATTGTTTTTAGGTGTTTATCTTGTTAAATTTCGAAGAAATGAGCAGCGAGTCGTCTCTCTTCGCGCTACTTCAGCATATCGGCTATTGAAACGCAGCTGATTTGATCGTCAAATTGCATTTATTAAGGAAAAGTTAAACTGAGACACACATTTAATGTAATTTCGAGCAAACAAATTATTGTTTTTAAGTGTTTATCTTGTTAAATTCTTGTTAAAGTCCTCCCGTGCACGCTCCCGCAGCCACCATTTGGCAGCCAATTGATTTGTGGCACAACACCGGCCCATGTTTCTTGGTTGTCAGCGGAGACTCGTAACAAACGCGACACGTCAGTGGTGACACATAATAGATGCGACGTATACGGCGAAGCAACTTATTTATGGATTTTCCCACTTTATTAGACATATTTGGACTGATGCAACTTATAGAGCGGTGCAACGTGTATGGTGGAAAATACTACCCAGATACGAACAGACTGAAAAACTCATTCATCCTTGTAGTGATCAGGCTTCTCAACGAACAGTGATGATTTACCGTTATTTTAATGTCTCTATGTCTTAGTATAGATGTTTTATGTGCTACTGACTGCGGAACAAATTGCCTCTCGGGATAATAAAGATTCTTGAACTTGAACTTGAAGCTCCAAGCAGCAAACTAAAAATGTATTTTGGTCTAATCTTTAAAATGTGTCACCACATTCACATCTGTTCGGAGGCCACAAACGCAGTGTTTGCATTTCTGCAGATGTTGCAGAAGAAATTAAAAGTACAATAAATCATGATGCAAAGAGCGGATGGAAATCCTTCAGTGGGTGTTGATAAAAACAACCTGGAGTTGCTTCATATTTTATTCTTTTACGAAATGCACGACGGGGATTATGTTATTGCTGAACGCATAATCTGAGCCACTCCTTCAATATTAATGTACTTAAACTGAGCTTTTGATAAACACGGCAACAAACGAGTCACTGTTCTACAACCATCGGTGTCAATCAGAGCAAAACTAAAAGTTGCATCCAGCCTGAGCACAAGCATGAAGGTCAGTAAGATGCTTCCCCACCTTTTGTGCACCTCCATCAGCTGATAGGAAGCTCCTGCGTGCTCCTTTTGGGCTGCAGAGACACAAGAAGTAAATGTTTTACTCTTTATGGTGTTTAGATGAACGTCCTGCAGAGAGTCAGAGGATTGAAAGGAACACAGTGAGGAGGACCGTCACTTTGAAAACAACAATTACACGTTCGTTTATCCAACAATGGCGCCGTTCTTTAAGCTGCAACGCTATTATAGCAAAGTAATAATAAATAATTTGGGGTTTTGTGTCAGACTCCAGAAACGTGCTTAGCACAGCTAATTCTGAAAAAAGTGATGGTTTGTATTTGTTCTGATGTGGCTTTGTGGCACTCTTCACTGCAGAAGAGCTCAAGAGAACAAGATTTATTTTACATTTTCATCATGAAAATACAGAAATAGTGACAGGAGAGAAATGTGTTAGACAAATAACTCAGTTTCTCTCTTGATATGGTTCTCACTGCGCAAACATACTGACCTGAGAAGCTTCAGTGCCTGAAAGTCTGAGGCAGAAGTCAAATCTGCCTGATCCCTATCTTATTGTCTCATCTTTACTCTGAATCCACCCTGTCTGTCTCCACACACACACCACACACACATACACACACTAAAACCTCCTCAGTATTCCGGCAGTGAGACAATGATAGCAAATATTACTGGATGAGTGCGAGTGAGGATTACAGAAAGTCTTCTAATTTAGAGATAAATAAAGAAAATGAAATGAAAAGATGTGAACAAGAGCTACAAAAAACAAACAGATAACTATACGTATAAGAATCACAAATACAAAAATTAAGAGCTGGAGTACTAAAACAAAATGTATAATTACCAAGAAAGGTACAACTAAACAAATCAAAATGCAAATGGATAAAAACACCCAGCAACCATGTGAAAAAATAATTAAAATATGTTCCTATAAACTCAAAACAGCCACAAAAAATGACCACAGTCAAACAAAAGGGCACCAAAATAAATGTAACACTCATACAAAGTAACCCAAAATAAAATACGGAGCAAAATAACCAGAATTTTACCCAAAACTACGCGCAAATCTGGGAGTTTTTGTTGTTTTCAAGGATTTTACTCAAATGAGCAAAGACTGTGTCACAATCTATTCTCATGGTGAAGCTGTGGAGAGATTAGAAGGAGGAATATTGGAGATTAAAAGTGAAAAGATGCCAACATACTGACTAAAATCTTATTATAGAGAGAAATGTTCCATCAGAACCACACAAAGTCCAAAAAACTGCTGCCAAAGATGAAAATCTTTACCGGAGTAAAGAGCGAGTAAAACTCTATCATTGCTCTTTGTGCGAGTCCTAATTATGTTTGGAGAATATTAAATTAATTCATATTAAATGTTCTTATGGATTGTTCTCGAGACAAATCTTTTAACGTTTCAGAACAAGGCGCTCACAGCTGAAGTCGTTTCTCACCGGCGAGAACGAAAACCTCCATCTTGTCCTTGAATGGCTGCAGGTGCTCTTCAGGAGAGTCCGAACAGACTTTCTGTACGTTTTTCTCACATTCTGAAGGAAAACAATCAAAGCACAAAAATAAATAAAAAATAATCATTTAGGATAAAGTGATCAAAATAATGCAACAATTAGCCCTGCAATTTGGGAGCCAATAAATAAATAAATACACAGTGAGATAATTAAATATATATTTTTTTAATTAAAAAAAATTGAAAATGACATTTAATTATTTAATATCATTATTTAAAAGGCACATTTATTTATTTAATGGTACATTTGCTTAATTAATTGTGTATTTAATCATTTCGTTGTGAATTTAATGATTTAATGATGTATTAAATCATTAAAAGATACATTTAATTATTTAATGCTATGTATTGGTACATTTATTTATTTCATTGTATATTTATTTATTTAGCTTCATGGCATATTTATTTTCATGATGTATTTATTTATTTAATTTCATGATGTACTTATATTGTTTAATGGAACATTTGTTTAATTAATTTTGTATTTAATAATTTCATTGTACATTTAATGATTTAATCATGTATTAAATATTTAAATTATACATTTAAATATTTAATGGTACATGTATTGGTACATTTATTTATTTCATGATGTGTTTATTTATTTAATTTCATGATGTATTTATTTATTTAATGGAACATTTGATTAAATAATTGTGTATTTAATCATTTTGTTGTACATTTAATGATTTAATGATGTATTAAATAATGAACTGATACATTTAAATATTTAATGGGACATGTATTGGTACATTTATTTATATCATTATGTATGCATTTATGTAATGTCATGATGTATTTATTTATTTAATGGAACATTTGATTAAATAATTGTGTATTTAATCATTTTGTTGTACATTTAATGATTTAATGATGCATTAAATAATGAACTGATACATTTAAATATTTAATGGGACATGTATTGGTACATTTATTTATATCATTATGTATGCATTAATGTAATGTCATGATGTATTTATTTATTTAACAAATTTTGTCACATTCCACCCTCCACAGATGTTGCTGAGGTTCCCAAAATTGGGGCTGAGACCTCAAAACGTTACATTTTGGGTCCATCTTTAGTGTGGTTGTAAGAAAAAATAAAAACAGCCCTAATTTTAATTTTTTTTTAAAGTCTATAATGTGAGTATAAGCTATTGTTATAAGTTTTTAAGCGATGTTTGTGCAGTTCAACCAAGAGGAAATTCCTGGTCATTGTTAATTTGGGGTTCAAATGAAAAAAAGTTTGAGACTCATGGATCTAACACACAAGTGTAACTTGTAACGTGTAACTTTTAAGTAGTTACTTGGTATTTTTCTAATTAATATTTACGCATGGGTTTTGTTTTATTTTATTTAGGGCAGTGCTTCTGGTCCTTGAGCAACACCATCCTGCATGTTTTAGTAGTTTCCCTGCTGCAGCACACCTGATTCAGCGGTTTAACTACTTCCCCATGTTCTGCAGAAGCCTGTTAATTACCCATTCATTACAATCAGGTGTGTCAAAGAAGAGAAACAACTAAAACATGCAGGATGGTGTTCCTCAAGGACCAGGGTTGGGAACCCCTAATTTAGGGAGTGCTGTGGTGTTTAGTAATTCAGTTTAAACTAAAAATCTCCTCAGGACTGTGCATTAAAATGAGCCTCTGTGGCCAAACTCAATTCAATTCACTTTATTTATATTTTGCCAAATCACAACAGAAGTCGTCTCAGGGCACTGAACAGAAACATTCACATATAGAAAGTCAATTAATAACATTTATCTAAGGAGCCAACAGAAATTCACCCTTTCATGGTGAACTGAAGTATTTTTGTTAATTATTGTTCAAAATATCTCATTTACAATAATTCATTGCACAACAAAGAACTCTAATCAAAACGTTTTAATAGGACAAAAGCTTCAATATTGTAAAATATGTAAGTAATTTAGTTTTTAATTTTATTTTTACTGATTCTCAAGGAAGCAAATTTGACATAACATTAGGAGTCGACATCACAATATCCATTTCAGTACTTAATAGTGTAAGATTAAATATATCAGTGCATTATGATATACAAAAACAAAACTACAGTAATTTAGTTTTTTTATCAATTTTGGTTCATGGTTTACAAAATCTTTCCAAGATGTGGAGATAGACGACCAGTAAAGGATGATGTGGGGCTGATCCAGCTCCACCTGCGCCACTCTGGCAGCTTAATCAGAGCAGCTTCCTCTTTCAGATTCCCTCAAAGATGGCGACTAAGAAACTCTGCTCCCTCTCCGTCGTCCTCTGCCGCTCTGCGTCCAATCAGTGGATCAGAGGAGCCAGTCTGCGGAGCCAGCCATAATAGAGCCGGGCCCTCGGGCCCCCCTGCCCCGCTGCTCGACCTCCATCTCTCAGATAAGATTACAAAAGAATACTGTTTTCATTTGGCATTTGTGTAAACTGTTGAGACGGGTATCTCTCAGTGCATTGTGTGAGAAACCTTTCTTTTTTGTCTGAATTTTCTGCCGACAAAAGTTTGCTTATTCCAGACCGAAGAGGGTCCGTCACATAAACACGCTGCTTTTAGATGTGAGGCTGCAGTTACACAAACGACGGTGGTTTGGTTTCATGGTGGGGGACGAACGATCTCTTGAAGAGGTTCTGAGGTTTTCATGGCGACTGGCGACCGACCACCGCAGTGACATAAATCCAGCTCCAAAGCAAAACATCCAGCACTGGTTAAACAGTGGGGAGTCTTAAAGAGCACAAATGAAGTCCACTGCAGGTTCAACACAACAGAAAGACAAGAGAGAAACAATAGTTCATCGTGTCATGAGCACGAGGCTGGACCGTGATTATCATCTAATGCCCCTTTTCTGTTAGGAACTGTACAGCATGGTTCGAGTCGACTCGGCACGGTTCCAAGGCTTTTCCACAGTAACGGTTCGTGGAACCGGTCCCTTGTTTCAATATTCTCTGGGGATCTAAGCGGCCGAAGTGGCACCAAAACGTGATGTCAGACCACTGATTGGTCAGGGGGCGGAGTCACTGGCTGTTTGAGAAACTTTCGCAACAATAACATCCGCCATTTGCAATAACTTGAACTTGAGGAGCAGCTGGATTTATTTTTAAGATTTTAAAAACATTAACGACAACACCGTGGTCTAATGATTCCCTCGGGCCGGCCGTCATCTCCACGGCTTCGAGTTCCGCCGGTCACCGCATGAGCCTCCGTGCTGCCGACCCCCGAGGCCCTGACCTCGCATGCCCATGAAGGCCAGACCCCGAGCTCCGGCAGACGGGTGGATCGGGACGGGTCTGGGTGAAAACGATTTTTAAAAACATTTTATGTATAAAAAATAACGTATTTTTTTAAATCAGGGAAGATTAAAAAACAAATGAACAGTGCCGGCTTTATCGTGAAATCCTGTTTTCACTTTAATGACTTTATTAAATAATCTGTTAAAGTTAACTCAGCTGAAAAATCCTAAAAAGACAAAATTATTGGATCTCTCAGGAATATTTCCCTCAAATATGTTTAAAGAAGAGACACAGCCTTTGTTTTAAATTTATTCTAGATGTACAAAATCACAAAACAAGAATTAAACTTTTAAAGCAAAGCTAAAATTAAAAATAAAAATAAATCAGTGAACAAGAAACAAAACCACACATCTAAACTGAACAATAAAAGACACAAAGAGTGTAAATACATCAAATCATGAAGAAAACCTACAAAGTTTTAAATATAGATGCTTCTGTAGAATCTTCATCAGAGATTTAATGGTGAACTAAAGTTCATTAGCAGGATATATATATATTAATTTGATCATGTTAATAATCTGTATTCTTTTGAATTTACCAGAAACTTCAAAATAAATTCTCACCCTGCACTGGAACCTGTTTCAAGGTCTCGCCGCCACCAGCTGGTAAGGTGTGTGACACAATGGAAACACAGCTCATACCGTGCTGAGCTGAGTCAAACCGTGCTGCACCGGTACTAAAGGTACTAATGGAAAAGGGGCATAACAGAGGCATGGGGAGAACTGGCCGAGGTCAAACCATTTCTTTCACGGCATCGTTGTAAACGCCTTCATGGTCTTGTCCCACAGCCTGCTTGTTCTCTCAGGTCAGCAGGTCAGTTCCTGTTGGTCGTATCCAAGTTCAAGAGGAGGCTGAGAGGTGAACGGGCGTTTTCAGTCTCTGGTCCCAAAACCGTGAACCTGTGGATCCTGTTCCGCCAGGATCCGGCTCGAATTACTAGTAGGGCAAAATTTAAGTGCCATTAGTTGGCAACAAAGTGTTAACCTATTAGTAAAAGTGTTTGTTGAACCAGTATGATCACATGTAAAACTAGTGCAGTGGAGTTGTGAACTACTGGGTGAAACTGACACTTGAGATCAAGAATATTGAATCTATACACAAAGGGCTTGCCATACAGGACACAATTAAGCAGGTACTGCACATGAAATGATCACATGAAAACAGTCTCGGATTTAAGGTTCGCGAAAAACTGAACCGCAACAAAAGAGTCCGAACCAGCCAAGCGGGGACACAGGGAGAGTGAACAAAAACAAAAGCAGAGCTTCAAACCAGGCATGAGGGCAGTTCAAACACACCGAACAAAAGGAAGCTGCGACAGACGATCTAGATTACGACGTAGTTTGTGTAGATGGGCTGATAAGACAAAGCTGTGCTGAGAGGTAAAGAAAACTATCTGCAGTGCAAGTCTGGGGGCCACACGGGTGCCCAGGTGATACAGCCGAGCAGGTTAAGCATCTCTCTGCAGAGATCCAGCAGATAGCAGAGGTCTGGAGATTACGTAAGTAGAACGCTACAGTCTCCCTGCGTTGGCGACATGGGCACAAAGGCACAACAATGGGAGATCTGATGGGCAGAGGGATTAGAAGCTGGATCTGAAAGGCGCCAGGCCGGTATATCAGCAGCAAGACTCCTGCTAGTCGCTCACTTCACACACACACACATGAAACGCACATAAAACCACAACAGCACACTCATAATCGCACACATGCACTGCGAGCATTGTCTTCAGAGCTGACCGGCGCGCAGAGTGGCGTCACGAAAGCACACGGATGGATAAGAAGGACGAGAGGAAATCTTTTGTTTTAGGACTTCAGCTAACGTGGTCACAGGGGCAGGCTTTCAGCCCCCAGTATAAACAGTTTAAAGAGTTTCTCAGTGGGGGCCAGAGAGGGGTTGGGGGTTGGAGGGGGGTGCCAAACTGTGCCGTGGTTTGGTCAGTGGGCGCCTCTGGAGAGCAGTCAAAGAAAAGCACAGAGATACAGTTACTCAGGCTGGGTTTGATTCTTAAACAAAACGACCACAAGTCGAGGCCGCTCCTGGTCAACCTGCATGTGGAGGTTCCTCTTCTCATGCTTTGAGGGAACATCTGCAACCGTCTAACACCGTGACTAAAAGTAGGACGGGATTTATGCCAATTTCTTTTTCACATCAGCGACAACAAGATGTTAAAGCGGCGTCACGTACTTGTCAGATCTTCTTTGAGCTGTTTTAGATCTCTGCTCAGGTCATCGAACTTAACTTGCGCTGCCTCAAAGACGTCCTGAGGTTCAGGGAGAGGAAACACACTCGTATCTGTGCCAGAGTGCTGATGAAATATAAGAAAAATTAACAATTATCAGCTGGAACAATGTGCAGCTTAATATAAACCCTCAAAATTAGATCTATACAATAATGCATGGACTTTTTTGTCCATAAACTTGATAGATAACTCTACATCATTTGTGAAACAAACCAGTTTGTTTAAAGCAAAACAGACACAGCTCGTCAAATAATGATTTTTTTTGTCTTTTTATTAATTACCTTGTCTACGTTGTGCAGGTAGTATGACACAACATAGTCCACCAGGCTGATCCGATTGTCCTAACAGAAAATTCAGACACCAAAGCCAACTTTAAAATCAGTGCAAAGAAAAACCTTAGTTAGGATATGACTAGTTTTTTTAATATTTGTCCACAAAAGTCCTTGAAAGTTGAAAAAAAAAAAACAGTCACTCAAAAATCTCAGTTTGAAGCAAAGAGATGTAGCAATAAGGTTTACAGGTTGCTGTATGTGTGTGATATATATATTTTTTAAATTGACTGAAGCATGAATGGTTCTTTTTAACCCATGTGAAACATTTTTTTGGTTTAGACGTGTAGTTCCTAATTATGTCCAGCAGAGGGCGCACTAGTTCATTTGAAGCTGTCGAAGAGCGCGCTCGTGCTTCGTTTCACTTCCTGTTAAGCTTCCGTAAGATGACCGGGATCACGCCAAGGATAACACACGGTAAAAAAAAAAGTCACAAAATAGCCCTTACAGTAAATATTAATTAATTTAACTAATTTTAACAACTTGTGCTCTTCTTTTAGTTTAATTCAGAGTGGAACCAATATTATATATGCACAGTTTTAAGTGTTTGGAAACATTTGTTGTTTTACGCTAATGCTATTGCTAAGTGCTAACAGTTAGCAGTTGTTATGAAGCTGTGGCTGAGTGGTTAGAGCAGTCGTCCTCCAATGCAAGAGTTGGGGGTTCGATTCCACCAGGAGTCACATGTTGAAGTGTCAAGACTCTCATTGCCTCCGATGTATGTCCCATCAGTGTATGAATGTGATAACGCACTGATTATTCTTTGTACAGATATAGATTGAATGAATTTAGTCTATTTAAAGCCCTTCCTGGATTCAAAAACCTTACTCTTTCTCAAACCCAGACTGCCCGATTATAACAAGCTGTATTTGCGCATGTGCCATTGCTTATACGCCCCTGTTTAAAGTGGAATAAAATTTTTAAAAAGCAACATTTCAACTACATTTTCTTACTTTGATTCCACACATTTAAACAATGTTTATCACCAAGTAAGTTTGAGCAAAACCAGCTGTGGGGTTTAAAAAAATTACAACTTTAATGCATCTTAACACAGACAGACAAAAAATATTAACACTTTCCCCAGAATCATTTAATCATTTGCATTTATTGATATACTGACAACAACTTCTGTACCTGAAAGGGGCATTAAAGTTGTAATAAGCACCTTTGAGCGAATGCTACTTTATGCTTCCTATTCAATGCAAGGTGCTTTAAAAAAGTTTGGGGTATGAGAGAGTTATTCTACATTCTGGACACACTTTAAAGTATTTAAAATTTATTATTAAAGATAAGCTAATCACCATGATAGCTCCAAGTTAGCCTGATAGGTGTTGCTAACTGAAACATTATAAATGCATTGTTCTGTACTGTTCTGATTAAGAACCATTAAATTTGTTGTATTTGTTATAATATCTATGTTGAATTGATTGTAATAGTATTTCACGTTGAGCGTGAAACCTTAAAAGCATACATTAGATGGTTGCTAAACGAGTATTTGTCACCTTATGTAAAACGTAGTTGTTGTAAGAAAATATAGCAATCTTTATTGTTAAATATAAACTTCAGTCATTGGTTTTATTGTTGGGTATTAATGAAACCAAGCCAAGCCCAGAGAGACTGCTGACAGTTATAATGTGGCCGACTGACAGACGTTTCACATTTTACTGATCAGTAATTCATTCGTTCCTCGGACACCTCGTGAAAACTTGCACACGCGCTTTGCTGTACTTTGGTAGCATTAAGGACACATACTTTAGTTAAAAGCAGTAAAGTAAAAATATGTATATATCCTAACCTCTCATTTAAACCTTTTCACACTCAAAAAAAGACTAATTTGGCTTTAATCATTTTTTAAATAAAAGAGCTATTATTTGTTTTATTGTACATGCAAATTATTACAGTTGTTGGTTGCTGTTAGTATTAACTTGTCAACTTTTCATACATTTTTATGGTACACTGCTCCTTTGATGCCAGTGTCTTCATTAACCTACTGTTGTAAAGTTAGTATCATATAGTCCGTCTCTTGTCTTCTATAAAGCTAAATATTGTTTGGAGTAGAAGGAATGGGACCCTCAATTGTTTGATGAGTGTTTGCTAAATGAATTAAAAAAATAAATTGAACTATTCAGCTGATTTAGAAAAAGCCTGCTCGGTTCTAAAACCTCTCTTTTTGTCCAGTTTTATTAGAAACGGACAGATGAGAACATTTCCAAAGAACTTTAAATGTAGAAATCAGTCCTTTCTTGTTATTTTGCTTTGCCCTGTATCTAAAATATCCGAGTATTGTTTATCTCTTGTTTCCCTGCGCATGTTTGATTAATATATTATTACGTCTGTTCCTGCAGCCTTGTACCCTTGTTTCAAGCCCTATAAAAGCAGCAGATTTCAATTTGAAAGGGTCATAGCAGGGGGAAATGAGATTCAGTAGCTCTGCAGTTATCAGACCTCACCTTGCTTTTGACGTCCTTTAGTTTGGGGAGAATTTCCATCCCAAAGCCATCGGCCTGACCTCTGATCCTGCTGCCTCCGTTCATGTGGTTTCCTAGAGCCAACACCAGTCCTATCACCTCCCTGACACTGTTGCTTTCCAGCAGAACCTTAAAGCAGAACATGTTTATGTCATATCTTCTCGTAGCTTTGCCCAGATGCCTGGTATGTCTAGTTTTACCTTGCATACAGAGGAGACAGAGTTGAGCTTGCGTTTAATGGTGGCAATCCCATCGATGAAGGCTGACTTGAAAATAATGCAACTAGCTCTGCCCACAAAGTCAGGGATCTGAGACAGCTCATACAGGAACCTAAAGGACATTTACAGTAATAACCACAAACATTTTAGAACCCATTTTTCTCCTTATGGTCAGTCTAACCTCATAAATGCTGCTATGCACTCTAAAACACTCCTGTCTGTAAAAATACTGACTGCTCAGGTTTGTCCAGCAGTTTAACATCCTCTTCCTCCGACGTCTCGTAGTGTTTTCTGATCTTCTCCAGCTCGTCTGGCTGTGCTCTCTGACACAGGGAAAATCCAATTAAAAATGTTGTTTGTGGTTAAAATGCAGTCAAATTATGTAGAGTAATGCATACATTCTCAAATAGTGCCTCAATGGCCTCCAGGTCCACCACAGAATTATCCACGGTTAGTACAGCTGGAAGTATGAATATATAATACATCAATTGTTAACACAATATGCAAGATGTCTTCTATTACCGTAAAGCAGTTTTTGAATTCAATCAGACTTTATGACAACATAAGGTAACGTAGCACACATCAAACTAGTTGGTACGAAAGTTGAGAGTCCATTGTTTTTCTTGACACCCTAATGAGTTGAAACAGTGGATCTCCATCTTTTTATAACTAAAAGTTTATGCAAATACTAAGCTTTCCAAGAACCATTTTTATGGCAGACATTTAAAAACAGTTTGACAAGCTTATATTCCTGTCTGAAATCTTACACAATCCCATCACTGGTTGAAAAAATATAAATTTTATTTCTAAAGCATGTAAAAAAGAAAAAGGTTGACTGAAGTGCTTTATACGTTGGTTTAAAATAATACAGTACAATCACACACAAAAAAAAATTGAATGAAGATCAGATAAAATATCCATCATAATTCACATTTGCAGTTATTTCTGATCTAAACGTTTTGACAGGAAATCGTGTGAGCCGCAGCGTTTGACTCACCCAGCTGAATGTCCTTCATCTCCAGGTGCAGGCTTGAGATGAGGATGCCCACGGCCTGGGAACGCTTGCTATCCAACAGCTTAATGATCTGAAACGCACGGTTACCATGACTACCGCACCACCAGAAACCACTAGTGTGTCTGTTAGTGAAGCGAAGCGCAGAGCAGATGGAAATAACTGCAGAATGACTCTTCTTCTGTACGGAAAGAAAATTTAGCACAGTAATGAAAGAATAGTGAATATAACTAACATTAACACAAAAAACACGAGCCTATTTTTCATCCTGGAAAAGTTTGAGGACTGAACTTTTTATAAAATAAGATGCCGTGGGCTCCCTCTGGTGGAAAAATTACCTTTGCACAGTTACGTCATAACAAACAGATGCTACAGAATCTGGAATGTATAAAAACACTGAAATGAAGTTTCTTACCTTCCTGGCCTTGGATTTCTTCTCATAAGCCTCAGACAGCGGCTTTCTTTTAGTCTTTGTGACGCTTTTAGCAAAGAGATCCTCGAACTCGCTGGCATTGATTATTCTTGGTTCGTCCAAGATGTTCCACAGTGACTTGTTACTGAGGGAGAAACGTATAATTAAATGGTCTTAATTACCCCTGGAAAACATCTGTAACACCTGTTTGCTGACATGAAGTGTCAGAGCGGGTTTATTAAACTTGTTCAAAGTTTATGCATCTAATTGAATTTATTCTGTGCTGTTTGTAGGTGTTGAAGTTCAGTGAGTCAGTTTAGTGTAAAACCAGTTTTTAAATAATCTGCACATCATTTTCTCTTTGAACCAAAAAATGACACCTTCGTAACGTTTTTGAGCATAAACATGTGAACGTTAGGCACATTGTTAATCTCTAAATATATTTTTAACGCATTTATGAATGTAACATGATGCTATGATTCATGTAAAATGTAGTGAAGTATGAATTTTTATCAAGTAATTGGTTTTAAAACATATTTGAAAGAGTTTAAAACATTTCATTTAAGAGGGTTGTGTGGAAAAATGGGTGTTTTGGGGCGTGAAATAATTTAATACATATAACTTTTAACGTGATCCCAGAAACTTATTAGAATAATTGTTTCTGCTTCAGCATTTTTATGCCACTATTTCATTTAAAAATTTTAAATTGTGATTCATAAAATAGTAATGGTCTCTTTTCTATTGTTAAGCTTAAATTATTTCGACACAATTCAATAAAAACGTTTAAATTCTTGAGTGATTAGACATGCGTCATTGTCACCGTCCCACAAAACCCGTTTCGGTGCTTCAACTCCACAACTTCAGAGCAAATCTTGTGCATTTTTTATAGTTTTGAGCCATTTTTACTCAAATTTCAAAAGTAAATAAACACAATAAAACCATGCTAGCAGTAACTAGAAAAATTTAATTTCCTGCAAAAATGCAGTGTGAATGCTTATTGCAGAAGAACTTGCTGAAAAACAGCTGAAATTAGCTTAAAAAAAACATGCTGAAATGTAGCTGGAATGGAAGAAAAAGCCTAAATTAGCAGAAGAAAGCAGAAAGAACACATATTTGCTGAAATTGGTTTAAACATTCAGAAATGAGCAGAAAAGTTAGGAAAGTAGCTAAAAAAACTGAACTTGTAAAAAAAATGGCTGAAAATTAGCTGCAAGGCAGGAAAAAAAAGCTTAAAATACCTAAGGATGTGGGAAGAGCTGACATTAGCAAAAAATATGGAATTAACTGAAAAGACTAAAATTAGCATAAAGTAGCTGAAATAGCTGAAACTACCACAGTTAAGCTGAAAGGTGCATAACAAGCTGAAATTAGCAGAAAGAAGTTAATTAGTCTGAAAGTAGCAGAAAATACCCTGAAAAACTTCAATTAATTAGAAAACAGCTGAAAATAGCTTAAATAAGTTAAAAAGCAAGCTAAAAATTAGAACACGCTTAAATTAGCAGAAAAAGGAAAACGTTTGCTCAATTAGGTTGAAAGAAGCAGAAATTAGCACAAAAAGTGGAAATTATCTTAAAAAAACTGAAATTAGCAAGGAATAGCTGAAAAGTTGCTATAAAAGCAGAAAGAAGCTAAAATGACCAGAAGTAAGTGGTGAGAGCACATCTTTACTGCAGGACAAAGTTTAAATTAGTGCAAAAGATTTGGAATTAGCTGAAAATCTAAAATTAGCATAAAACAAATAAATAGTAGCTGAAATAACTGAAACTATCAGAAATATGCTGAAAGGAGCAAAACAAGCTGAACTTAGCAGAAATAAGTTAATTAAGGTGAAAATAGCAGAAATGAAAAACTTGAATTTATATGAAAACAGCTGAAATTAGCTAAAAATGCTAACAAGTTAAAAAAATGAAAGTAGCAGAAAGAAGTTAGAAGAAGCATAAAATGTAGTTAGCAGAAATATTCTGAAAGGAGCACAAAACAGCTGAAAAACAGCTGAAATTAGCTGAAAAAAAGTTTAAATTTGCACAAGGAAGCTGAAAGAAGCTGAACCAGCTCCTTCAAAAAGCTTCTCTAAAGTTATGCAGCCCATCTTTAGATATGAATGAATCAGATTTGGGGCAGCACGGTGGCGCAACTGGTAGAGCTGCTGCTCTCAGCAAGCAGGTCCCTGGTTCAAATCCCGGCATGGGGGGCCTTTCTGGGTGGAGTTTGCATGTTCTCTCTGTGCATGCATGGGTTTTCTCCGGGTACTCCGGTTTCCTCCCACAGACCAAAAACATGCATGTTAGACTGACTGGTAACTCTAAATTGTCCCTATGTGTGAGTGAGAGACTGAATGGTTGTCTCGTTTGTCTCTGTGTTCCTGTGATGGACTGGACATCTGTCCAGGGTGTCCCCCGCCCCTCGCACAGTGATTGCTGGACATGGGCACCAACGACCCCCGTGACCCAAAATGGAAGAAGCGGTTAAAAGATAATGGATGGATGAATCAAATTTGATAAAGCTGTCTTTAATTTATGATCTTGAATGAACTTACTTGTCGTCCTGGATCTGGATTCTGGTCCAGTAAAGAGGCTTCATGGGTCGGGAAGGCTCCACCGCTGGCTTTCTTGCAGGTTTATCAAAAATGAGATCCCCAGCTGGTGGTGGTGGGGGAGCAGGCCCTGACGAGGATGGAGGAGGTGGAGGTGGAGGAGGAGCGGCACCTGTCAAGGATGGAGGTGGTGGGGGTGGAGGAGGAGGAGGAGGAGGGGGGCAAGGAGCGTTTTGCTTGGTCGGTGTCTGATCTTCACGAGGAAAAGTCTGAACTGAATTTGTAGGCGAGGAGAAGTTGTCCCTCTGACCGGCCAGGCTGAGGCCGATGGAAACCACGTCCAGTGTTTTTGGTGCCGCCTTCAGTCGAGCTTTCCCAGTCTCCTCTTTTTCCTCTGTATTTTCGCTGAAGGTCTGTCTGTCTGTCTGGACGCCAACTGTGCGGAAGGCTTTGTGTAAAAAGTCGCCTGCTGTGGAAACGGCAACGTCCCTCTGCTCTCTCCGAGTCCAAGCCTGGCAGAGTTTGTCCTGTCGCTCAGCCAGAAGGATCTCCAGATGGGTGACGTTGCTCTGGTTTTCCTCCCTCAGTGTGGAGAGCTCCCGCTCGTAGTTCTCCTACAAATTAATTTAGTAAAAGTTTAGCATGACATTGGCAAATATAATAAGCATGGTGTTTGAGTTTTACAGCCTGTGAGGTTGTTTTTGGTTCAGATAAAAGCTTTTATTGACCCACTAAAATGCACTTTTTTCAGCAAAAAAATCATATGGTTCATCTGATAAATCACTACCACATCTTATTCTGTGTGGGGGGTCTCAAGTATCTGAACCAAGTCTACCATATTTTTTTGCTGTATAAGTAGCACTTTTTGCATAAATTATAATGCCCTGTGACTTATACATCAAAGCGACTTATGTTTTTTCCCATATCTATAACCCAATTCTTGGCGGAGATCTGACAATTTCATTCATTCTGACATGGAAAATATTGAACACTACCATTTTCAGCCACTAGAGGGTGATCGAGTATTATGGCAAGCCATATGTCTCGTTAATAGGTAAACGTGGCTATTAATAAGACACTTTGCTTGCCATACAAAGCTACCTTTGTCTTGCTAAGGAACTCCTGGAACAAACGTCAAATCAGCTGCATTTCGCCGAGCCGCCCAGGCGAAATGCAGCTGATTCGACCATTGAAGTGCATTTATTAAGGAAAAGTTCAACTGAGACAGACCTTTGCTATAATTTTGAGCAAACAAATAATTGTTTTTTAAGTGTTAATCTTGTTAAATTCTTGTTTAAGTCCTCCCGTGCATGCTCCCATGGCCGCCATTTGGCAGCCAATCGATTTTTGGCACACCAGCCCACGTTTCCGGGTTGTCAGTGGTGACGCATAACACATGCGACTTATATGGTGAAGCACATATTTACGTTTTTTCCACTTTATTAGACATATTTGCACTGATGCGACTTCTACGGCGGTGCGACGTGTACGGCAGCAAGTACGATAATTGTTTCTTGGCGTTTTCTGAGTTTTTTTCTGTCCTTGTTAGGAAACAACCTGAGGTTAAGAAGGATGGAACAGATTACAGTTAGTTAATTTCAAATTACCTATACAACACCAATCCAGACCTAAAGAAATCTCAAAACCGATTTAATGCAAAATCCTATTCATCTCAGTTTATTTCAGTGCAATCAAATCTTGAGTATTTTCACAAAAACGTTATTTTTTTCTTAACAGTTAACTCGTATATTTTAAGACTCCTTTTTAATATATGTTTTTTTCATTTTGAATGTCTCGTCTTAATCTCAGTATGATTATCTTTGAGGGGGGAAAAAAAATAACCGCACATAAAACTCAAGTTTGACTTCTTTCCAGATTTCAAGCTTTTATTAAAGTTTACCTTTATTTTAATTTCTGACCTGTTATTGGTTATAAGACCACAAACTGTGTCTTGATGGGAACAAGTGAACTTAAATCACTTTACCTTTACAAATGTATAATTTTCTTCAGCCCATAAAGAAAACCAGGTATTCACTGACCTGTAACATCTCCAGCTCATCTTTGCATTCTCTCTTCAGCTGCAGGAGAGCAGCCTGATGCTCTGAGGACACAAGGACACACTTTTTTTACAACAGCTATAGAACAGCAGGGTTCATTTATTCAACTGATGCCCAAGAGCATGCTTTCTTTATAAAGTATAGCTGTTTAAAAGCAACATTACATTAAAATTATTTAAGAATTGATCACGTTTTGTGTATTAATATGAATAATAATCTATTCATCTGCTGCTTGTAGTCGGGTTGTGGGGCAGCAGCTTGAGCATGGAGGACCAGCTCCTATAGGAATATTCCAAGGTGTTCCCAGGCCGACCAGCATGTCCTGGATCTCCTTCTATTCAGACTTGCCTGGAAAACCTCCCTAGGGAGGTATCCTTACCAGATCCTTAAACCACCTCAACTGGTTCCTTTCGATGTGGAGGAGCAGCGGTTCTACTTTGAGTCTGTCTTGTATAACTGAACTTCTCATCCTATCCCTAAATCGGGTTCTCAAACCTTTTGGATTCAGGGACCCCTTACAGGGGTGAAAAAGTTTCAGGGACCCCATCATAACTCTTGTGTTTATTACATAATTTTCTTCAGTTTTTCTCTTTAATGCAATGGAAACATTTGTGTAACACAAATACTCAAGACCTGTTCTTTAATCGTGTTAATACAATTTTTATACTTTTAAACATGGAGTAGTTTTCATTCAAGACACACTTAATTAACAAAATTTTTAATTTCCACTTAGACAAATTACAGTTTTGAGAAAATTAACATAATCAAAAACCACTTCTGAACTTTACCTATTCATTTAATGAACGTACAGTAAATGTATTGCCAAATATATCAGACCCCCGGGGGTCCGTGAGCCAGTGACCCGGAGATCTCGTGAATAAATGTTCGCGAGTGGTGCCCAGTTTGAGAACCGCTGCTCTAAGCCCAGATACCATGAGGAGAAAACTGACCGCTTTTATCCACAGTTTCCTTGTTTTGGCCATTACCCAGAATTTGTGACCATGAGGGTGGGAACATATAAAAACATAATCATACTAATTATAATAAACGTTTCAGTTTGAGGCTGAGGCAGCAAAGCCTCAAATGTAACAAACTAACCCAAAGCTGCCAGGTTACAGCTCATGTCCTCTTATGCAAACAGTTTAAACAAACATTTATCTGCTAATAAAAGAGTTGAGTTACTGAGAGGTCAATTAGAAAGTATATTTTATCATCAGCCCGACTGTTTACAAGGATGTGGGTGTGTTCAGGTTTATCCCTGTTCAAACAGGGTTTTGTAATCCTGCTGAACAGATTCAACATTTAACACTTTTTATTTTATCCCCTTTCTCCTTTATTTTCTTGAGGGCATTGATGATATTAAAATGTGGGGCAAAAGTCAAATTTGTTTCATAAAGTTCAAAACCAAAGGCGTGTAACTTTTATTTAAGTTAATGGACCAAGTTAGAGCCAAACCTTATATTTTAAAGAAACAGTGTCGTGCTTTTTTAGTGGTTAGCAGTTTTTGTCAGGAGTTTGAGTGTGAATTTATTATTTTGTGTATAAAGTAATTTTTCTCTCAGAGGGAACATTGTTGTAGCTTCTCTGATGTTCCGTTTGTAAGTTTGTCCCTTCAGGGCTTCCCTCCCGGAAAGTTCGCAGATGTGAACTTTAGAATGTGTAAACTTACAAACAACTACATACTAAAGAGAAATGAAAAACATGTGACATTACACGAGATTTAGTAGTAGTTTAAATAAAATAAAATAAGACTTTGTATATCTTTTATAAACGTGTTGACATGTGACTTCCATTTTGCTATGTCTAAATCCAAGATGGCCACCTCCACTTATGTAAACCAGACACTCCTATCGTTCGAGGTGGTTGGTTGGGTGGCTGAAGATTATTACTCTATGTTGGCCTGGGACAATGTTAGACACCCCCCAGCTCCTCCTTTGCATCTGGTTGTGGATAAAACTGATCCCTCCACTCATCAGGATCCGCCACTCAAGAAAAAAAAACAATGTTCTTACACAGTATAACTCCTAAATGTCTTGCACCAAAAACATTTAGGTTCCAGTTCAGAAAAACACTCATCTCAAAAACTACAAACATTCAAATCTTTCAGGGACGGGGGAACATGGTTTTAACTCGGTGTTTGCACCAAGCTGCGTGGCTGTTGACAGTTGTACAACCACCATGAGGCATAAAAAAAATTAAGATTTGAATTCTAAACAGAAGATTAAGCTTTTATCTTTTTAAAAATCTGTTTATAATCCAGTACAGTTGTTCTCTTGCTTCAGGTGTGGTCGACACGTGGGGTGGAGCTGTGTTTGTTTTCACTGTGACACGATGTCCAACATGATATCAGAAAGCAAACCATTCTTACCACTCCCTGAAAAGAATGACAGTATAATATTTTAACTATTGATTTGAATTCTGCTTAGATTTTTTTAAAAGACAGTTTTAAGGTTTTGGAAGATTTTTATTCTCAAATTCCGTGCAACAAGATTTGGATCCCTTTTTGTGAAGCAGTGGCGATTTTAGCCTCTTTTTCAAGCACCCCTAAATTTAAAGTCAGCACCCCTGAAAAATAACGTTTTTTTATTTTTTATGGTGGTTTTAGGTTCCGTTTTATAACATCTATGATTCAATGCAACAACATAAACACA